CCCCCCCCCCCCCCCCCCCCCCGCCTTTAGAAGCAAGCTTGACAGACAGACATGAATACCGAATTATTTAGGGAGCAAGTTCACTTCGGCTGAATTTCTCTATTCGTGAGGCAGAGGCTTAGTCACGAATGTGGGGGCTGCCATCTCCCCCATCCGGGGGTGGGATGTGACTGTTCAGTGCCTTGAAAATGACAGATTTCTGACTCCTGGAAGGGAGAGGGCAGCCCTGATGGAAGAGGGAAACAGGGAGGACCCTCAGAAAGTCAGGCCTGGTGTTTCCAGCTTACAGCCTCCTGCCCCGGACACGGTCTTGTCAAAAGGGAGAAAAGGGATGGGAGGAAGCTGTCCTTTGGGGGTTCTTTTCCCTGGTACCACAGCACCGATTTCACACGGAATGTGAGTGGGACTCGTTATACAGCCATTTCCACCAGAACCCACGGTCCTTGGTCTCTAGCGGGAGGCGTGGTCTCCCATTTCGCTGTTAAGGAAAGGGATTTGCTGAGATGGTGTTCAGGCTTGCAGCACCAGAGACACCTGTTGAAGAAGACCTGGTGACTGGCCCAGGCTTAGGCCAGAGCCTCGCTCTATGAGAGATGGGTTTGGTTGCACAAATCATCCATGTGGACAAGGTGTCAGGAATGTTCTCAAAGCACTTTAACATCTTCACACAGCATTCATCACGTGGTATAAACAGAGCAAGTTTCTTGACCCATGTGTGCAGACGCTTCAGTGTCTTGGTCATAAATCAGCTGTCTCTTTGCTCCAACCAGCACCACCTGGGTAGCCAGCTCTCCTTACCGTGTGTACTTGAAACAAATAAAATGCATTTCTTCGGATTTTCTGGTACAAACTTTTCCTTTGAAAGGCAAGGTCTTTGTCCAGTTTGCCTGTCTTGGTTTGCCAACCATACCTTCAGCTGGTGCTGAATGGTGAACCAGAGATCCCGTCCTGGGGAGTCTGGGGGCTCAGCACGTCCTGAAGGAATAGGGCAGGTGGGATTTATTCAAATCATGTCACCAGTTAAAACCTTCAGTGGGTATTTCCCACAGGAAAATGACAGCTGCTATTCTGGCTCCCGGAACGTGTACTGAAGGGAGGTGGGAGGGAGGAGGGAAGGATATGGTCCTGGCAACTGGCAACCTCTTCAGCCAAAAGACTCTGTCTCTCAAAAATGGTTTGGTTTTGTGTGTGTGTATGTTTTTAATATTTTTTAAATGTTAATTTATTTGTGAGAGAGTGCAAAATAGGTTAGGGGCAGAGAAAGAGGGAGACACAAAACCCAAAGCAGGCTCCGGGCTCTGAGCTGTCAGCATAGAGCCCAACGCCCAGGCTCGAACTCATCAACCCCGAGATCATGGCCTGAGCCGAAGTCCCATGCTCAGCGGACTGAGCCACCCAGGCGCCCCGTTTTTGCGTTTTTAACCTGGGTCGTAGAAAAACTAGGGAAGCATTAGAAGGAAGCTTTGCTCTGTCGGAGGCCGTAACGGGCTCTGGGTGGCCGGCCCTCTCCTGAGTCAGTAGAGGGATGTGGATTAAAAGGCCGCAAGGTCCTTGTCCCCCTTCTTAGTGGATCCCTAGCCCGCGAATGAGGCCCCGCCTCCTGTATTTCTCCGGAGGCGGAGTCAAGCCTGGCCTCCTTGTCCTAGCTGGGCAACTTCGGGCCAGTTGCTTAACCTCTCTGAATCCGGCGGTGGGGAGCAGAGAAGAGAGCGGACGTGAAGCTCTGGTAAGGTGGGGGCAGACGCTCCAGAAAAGCGGGCCGCCCGGACCCGCCCCCAGCTAGGAGACGCTCCTGCAGCGGGGCGCGGAGAACGCTCGGGCTCGCCGGGAGCCCGCGGCTGTGACGCCACGGTGTTGCCCGGCAACCGCGAACGCCGCGGCGGAGCGCGTGCCAGCCGGCGGCTGCGGCGGCTCCGGCGCTCGGGTCCTGCGGCGGCGCCTGCAGCGCGGATCCCCCACTTCCCCCTCCCCGGGCCGGGCCTCAGGGCCGGGCGAGCCCTGGCGAGGGAGGAGGCGGCGTCCCGGCTCCGGTCCTGCGACCCTCGCGCCGCGCCCCTCCTTGTCGCCGGGCGCCCCTCGAGGAGTCCCGGTCCCCCGCCGCGGCCCCGCCCCTGCCGCGAGGCCCCTCCCCCCGCGCCCGGCGCTGGCTCCGCCCCCCGGCCTCTGCCGTCGAGCGTCCGGGCCGCACGGCCCACGTCGCGCCGCGCCCGGGGGACCCCCGCCGCGGCGCCATGGCCTCCGAGTCGGTGAAGGTGGTGGTGCGCTGCCGCCCCATGAATCAGCGGGAGCGGGAGCTGAACTGCCAGCCCGTGGTGACGGTGGACTCCGCGCGCGGCCAGTGCTTCCTCCAGAACCCGGGCGCCGCCGACGAGCCCCCCAAGCAGTTCACCTTCGACGGCGCCTACCACATGGACCACTTCACCGAGCAGATCTACAACGAGATCGCCTACCCGCTGGTGGAGGTGAGGGCGCCCGGGAGGCTGCCTCCAAGGACCGGCGGGCAGAGCTGGGGGCCACCCCAGGGGGCCTGAGCGGGACCCCCGTTCCGGAGCAGCGTGGGTGGACACCACCGGGTTGGGCTGAAGTCTTTTGTGTAGGCAGGACACGGCTGGGAGCCACCGCCAGCGCCCACGTCCGGGTCTCCACCGTCCGCAGCGCCAAAGCTGGTCCTCACGTCCACCCCGCCCAGGCCCCGGCCCTCAAGAACTCCAGCCCCCAAGACCCTCTACCCCCCAGCCCTCCACCATCCTCTGAGGGCTTCTCTAAGCGCTCTAGCCGCTGCCCCCAGCCGCCGCCGCCGCCGCCGCCGCCTCCCAGGCCATGGCCTCTGCTTCCTCGCCTCGGGGTTCACAGTCCCCTGTCTTCCTCCCTGGGTCAGGTCAGGCCTGCGGGGGTGCGGGTGGGGGTGGGGATGGGGAAAGACCTCTGCTTCCCCCCTTCTGCCTTAGTCTTGGAGGAATGGAACCCCTTTACCTTTGGTCTAACCTGCCATCCTCTCCAACACACTTTGTCACCCTTAAAAGGGCTTTTGCTTTCCAGAGCCCTCACACGAGGTGGCTCGTGCATTTGGGAAATGGGGAGACTGAGGCCCAGAGGAGGGAAACCTCCCCAGGCCCCCACCGTGGGTTTCTAGCAGAGGTGTGGCGGCAGCTCTGCCCCCGCCTTCCGGGCGAGGGCTCTTCCTCGTTACCAGCACCTCCCCACCTGTTCACTGCTCAGCGGGTCACTAGTTAAGTGAGGTGTCACAGATCGTCCCACAAAAAAAGGAAAAGCTTGGGAAATGCCGCGCACAGTCCCCCTCTTAGTGAAGCTGCACAAGCGCGTTACGACCCCTGAGGCTCTGGGGAGTCTTGCAGCAAAGAAACTGGCTTGACTTACTGAACGCAGCGTTTCCAATACGCATTTTATGACCCTTTTTTGTTTCCACTGGCACGGCAGTCAGCACCCTCCAGGGCACCTCCAGGCGGCCCTGCCTCTTCTGTGAAGGCTCAGTCTAAGCCCTTGACAAGGACCAAGTGTTCTGAAGCCCAGAACTCCCCAGTGGCCAGGGCCGGATGGAGGCGATTCCCCCGGGGGACTGAGGGCAGCTCCGGCCAGGTTGTGGTCCCAGACTCTGGGGATGGCCTGGTTGCCCTGCCGTCCTGCACTCCCAGGCCGGAAGGGAGCTGAGGGGTTGTCTGGTCCGCCCCACCTCCCCATTGGGTCCCTGGATGACCACCCAGTGGCAGCAGCTCACTCTTCCCAAAGCAGCCCCCTTCCCCCTTCGCTGCTTGGCTCCTAGAAGACCACCTTCAGCCACCTGCCCTGGCTCTGTCCCTGAGGCCACACCACCACCCCTGTTCCCTTGTCCAGGATTGGCCCCTCAGAGATCTGAGGATTCCCAGATTGAGTCCTCCTTGGCCTTGCTCATGGGTCCCTGCCTCATCTTGGAAGTCATCCCCTGGGGAAGCCCCCCTTGTCAGGGTCCCCAGGAAGCCCCAGCCTGGAGTGGGGGACACTAAGGACACAGTGGCTCGATCAGATCTCTCCTGTCGCTCTCCCTGTCGTCCTAAGTTCCACCAGGACTTGGGATTCTCTTCCAGAACCTGCCTGTGGACATCACACAGAGCTTCAGACCCAGCACCACATACATTCTTTTTCATTCAATCATCCAGTCAGCTGGCAGACAACATCTCCAGGCCAGACCCATCCTTCGCTCGGGGAGCGCGGCCCTAAAGAAGACCTGGCTCTGCCCTCAGTGAGGCCATGGTCAGGGGGAGGAGCAGCTAAGCTAATAACTACCGTCCAAGGTGATGAGTGGGAGGAGAAGCCTGGAGGATTTGGGCAACATAGAGAACCTGGGCTGAGAGGGCATAGGAAAGGAGGGGAGAGCTGGGAGGGATCCCTGGAAGTGGTGAGATTTAAATTGAGACCTTGAAGGATGAGGAGAGTAGGTCAGGCAAGGGCCTTCCAGGTGGAGCCCAGCATTTGATTTTCACAAGATTCTGGATGCATGGAGAGCTGGCGTTCTCATTCCTGGTGAGGAAACCGAGGCTGAGAGTATCACAGAATGAGGGTGGGTTTTTTATTAGTTTATTTCTTTATTTTGAGAGAGAGAGAGAGTACAGGGGATAGGCAGAGAGAGAGAGAGAGAGGGAGAGAGAATCCCAAACAGGTTCCGCCCTGTCAACTCAGAGCCTAACTCAGGGCTTGAGATCTGTGAGATCTCACAAACTGCGATCGTGACCTGAGCCCAGATCAGGAGTGGGACGCTTAACATTCTGGGCCACCCAGGTGCCCCGTGGGGCGGTTTTGATACCGGGCACAGTACCTGGTCCCCGTGCTCCCTTTTGCTGCCTCCCATTCAATGAGCAGCATGCACAGCAGAGGCAAAGCACAGCTCAGGTGGCTCTGAGCCGGGAGCACCGCACCACTAGGGGCTGTGTGCTGGTGCCCCGGGGGTCAGGGCCAGGTCCAGGGCTCCTGCCACCCCTCCCCCGTCCCTGCCCCCGGCCCTCCTGCCCAGGCCCTCGCCTCTGTGTCCTATTGCACAACCTTCCTGCCCTTTTCTTTCCTGCGTCTCCAGCCCTTAAATCCAGTCCCTATTCCTGATCTTCTCTGGGCCTCTTTGGCCCCCTTGGGCGCTGTCCACCCCAGACCCACCCTTCTGCCCCCTTAGCACATTCTCGCTGGATCTGCTCCCCTCCACACCTGCCTGCTGCCTGGTCTCTGGGCTCTTTCCCAGCCAGAGGCTTTGCCACCCGCCCCTTCCTCCCACTTCACACCCGTGGCCTTTGAGTCACCTCTGATGAGCCGCCCTTCCCCCCACCCCCGCAGCCCAGGCACCATGGCTTCTACCTCGTCCAGATGTCAGTATAGTAGAAGCCAAAGGATTCGGTCCCTCGGTGGGACATTCAGCTGGGTGCTTGGGAAGGGGGCGGAAGGGGAACAGGAGGCGACTTAGGACAGATGTTTTTTTTATTTCAGTTGCAATAGTTCTATGTTTAATGTGACGTAGGAAAAATACTTAGCACATCCAACCTGTAATGCAGTTTCGTGGGAATTCTTGCTGAGGGTATGAGCAGGTGAAAAAGAGAGTCAGTTAGCAGTTGGTTTCCTGAGAGTCGGCCTGTAAGGAATAGAACAGGGTGGGGGCGCCTGGGTGGCTCAGTTGCTTAAGCGTTTGACTTCGGCTGAAGTCATGATCTCACAGTTCGTGGGTTCGAGCCCCACATCGGGCTCTGTGCTAACAGCTCAGAGCCTGGAGCCTGCTTCAGATTCTGTGTCTCCCTCTCTCTCTGACCCTGCCCTGCTCATGCTCTCTCTCTCTCATAAATAAAAAACATTAAAAAAAATTTTTTTTTTAAAGGAATAAAACAGGGTGACATGCAAAACCCTGGGTAGAAGGACAGAGCAGCCAACATTTGGGACCATTTCCCCGTGCAGGCCCGTCCCTTGTGGATCTGGAGGTATCCCTTGATGGGTGAAACCTTTTTGAAATTTTATGTTTTGCCTTAAAAATGCATGTTAAAATGTTTTTTTTTAATTAAAAAAAAATTTTATTTTTGAAAGAAAGAGAGAGACAGAGTGCAAACCAGGGAGGGGCAGAGAGAGAGGGAGACACAGAATCCCAAACAGGCTCCAGGCTCTGAGCTGTGAGCACAGAGCCTGACATGGGGCTCGAACCTGAGGACAATGAGATCATGACTTGAGCTGAAGTCTGACACTTAGCCGACTGAGCCACCCAGGTGCCCCCAAAATTGTTTTCTACTTCACTCCAGAACTGTACTGTTCTGTTGAATTTTCTGCAGTGGTGGAAATATTCTGTATCTAGGCTGTCCAAGTAGGTACCACTGGCCATATGTGGCAAAAGCACTTGAAATGACGCTAGTGCTACTGAGGAATGGAATTTTGTTTAAAGTCAAGTTAAATTTAAATAACTCATGTGGCAAGGGGCCCCCACATTGGACAGCACTCTAGAGCAGCGATTTCCAATACACAGATAATGTGAGCCACATACATAATTTAATAATATGTATTTATGGAAATAAATTTTCCAGTAGCCACATTTAAAGTAAAAGAAGATGCGCCTCGTGGTTCAGTCGGTTGAGGGTCTGACTCTTGATATTGGTTCACTTCATGGTCCCAGAGTCGTGGGATCGCGACCCACGGCAGGCTCCGCGCTGGGCATGGAGCCTGCCTGGGATTCTCTCTCCCAGTCGCTCTGCCCCTCCTCTGCTCAAGCTTGTGCGCTTGCTCACTCTCTCTCTCAAAATAAAAAAATAAAAAGTGAAAAGAAAGTAATGAAATTAGTTTTAATAATAGATTTTTATTTAACCTAGTATATCCAGGGCATGATTTCAAGGAAACATACTGATACATGTTGTCATTGTGCGACATCAGTGAGAAACAGTTTACATTCTTCCTTCCCGCTAAGTCTTTGAAATCAGACTTTGAAACCAGACGAGTGTCTTACATTGTAACATGTTGCAGACGCTAAAGTATCAACAGTTCAAATGAAATGGGACAAAAGATAAAGTTCTGTGTAATGGGGAAATATTTTATACTGCGTCAGTTAAAGGTAAATTAACTAAAATAAAATAAATTCAGTTCCTTGGTCGCACCGGGCCCGTTGCTAGTGTGGCTGGTGGCTACTCTACCGGACAGTGAAATGATAGATGTTTTTGTATAGAATTTTTTCCCTGGGTTTGGGGGACACTGATGCTCTGGGCCCTGCACCATGGTGACCCTGCATGTGTCCCCAGTGGTGGCTCCTGGCCGGGTGATGGCTCTGCCACCGCCTCTCCCCCACCGCAAGGGGCCGGGCCCTGTGTGCAGAAGCTGTGAGTCGTGACTTCCGGACTCCTTCCCCAGCAGTCCCCCGGGATCCCGAGCCCCACGTTGGCCCACAAGATGGGTCCTTGTGGTGTCACTGGGCCCAGATGCCAGGCCGGATGCCCGTTCTCGTTCTGCCCCATGCTGAGTTCTAGAATCGGTGCCCTCGTGAGCTCCGTGAGGGCAGGGACTGGGGTTCCGCCTCGTTCACTGCTGTGTCCGCAGCCGGAGCGCCTGCGGATTGAGTAGATTGAGCAGATGAGTGAAAACGTTTCAGGGTTGCCACCGCTTTGCTTCCTTTCTCCCCTTCCCCTCGCCCAGCTCCACCTGCTCTCAGCCTCTGACCTCCCTGCGCCCCCTCAGCCTGGAATGCCTTCCCCTTCCTGTCACCTGTCAGCTCCCCGCCACCCCCCCCTTCCACCCTCCGCAGGAAGGTTCCCCACCTCTCACTCCCTCTCCTTTCCTGCTGCCCGGACCTCCGCCAGCACACACCCCTCCCCTCCCCGGGCCTGGTGTGAAGGTCGCTTGCACAGGTCCAGCTCCGCCACGTTTCAGGCAGACATTTAGCGAGTGCCCCTGTATGCCAGCCTTCCGTGTTCCGGTGCAGGGAGTAGTTCGCATGTAAACCTCACCACAGGCTTAGAAGGAGGTGCTGTTCTGATCCTGAGGGGGAAACTGAGGCTCAGTGTACCTGGGTAAGACTGGGTCCCCGGGCACACAGTCAGGAAAAAGGTGAGGCTGGATTTGAGCCCCTGAGAGAGAGGCCAGGCTCCACCGCACAAGCCCGTAATGCCACACAGGGGCAGTCTTCCCCACCAGGAGCTGATTGAGGACAGAGCCGTGACTTATCTCTGTACCGCATGGCCAGCCCGGGGCCATCGTAGGAGGGGCCCTCAGTCTGCCATTTAGGAGGTGGCTGAGTCCAGCGGGGCTAAGCGGCTGAGCCCCGGGGTCTGGTCCTCTCACGTAGGGTGTCACTGAGGGCTACAATGGCACCATCTTCGCCTATGGCCAGACGGGCAGCGGGAAGTCCTTCACCATGCAGGGCCTGCCAGACCCGTCCTCCCAGAGAGGCATCATCCCCAGGGCCTTCGAGCACGTTTTTGAGAGCGTCCAGGTATGGGCCCCCTGGAGGGCAGGGGAGGGCTGGGGGCTCCCCTCCCTTTGATGTTGCCTCTCCTGCCATGATGTCCTTTCCGTGACATCCTGGCTGCAGAAGGCTTCGGGTGCTGGGGCAGGTCTGGCAGCAGGCACTCAAGTGTCTTTGCTCCCCGTCCACCCCCTGCAGTGTGCAGAGAATACCAAGTTCCTGGTCCGGGCCTCCTACCTGGAGATCTACAATGAAGATGTCCGTGACCTGCTGGGGGCTGACAGCAAGCAGAAGCTGGAGGTGGGTGTGCAGGTGCGGCGTGGGCAGGTCGGGGCTGGTGGAGGGGGGCTGGCACCAGGCCGTGCTCCCCCAGAAATACGTGGAAGGTGTCCCGAGGGCACAGGAGCCACTTTGGACTAGAGCAGGGACTTTAGAACTTGAATTTTGGAGGCATCTCCGAGTCCATGTTGTAGGGGAGTGGCTCATGGGCCTGCTCCCCGCCCCCCAAACACATTGCGGGGAATGCCATCTGTCTCGGGTGAAATAGATGAAGTCTTGTGATAGATTTTGTTTGAAAAACTGGGTTCCACTTCTGAAAAAATTACTGTGAAAATCTCTAAGGGGTCTTCAAGCTAAAAAAAAAACAAAAACAAAAAACGGTAACGATCTTCATTTATTGAGCACTGTTCCCTGCCTGCTTTAGGCACTTGATCTTTTTTTTTTTTTAATGTTTTATTTATTTCTAGGCGTGCGCGCGCGAGAGAGAAAGACAGCGTGAGCAGGGGAGGGTCAGAGAGAGAGGGAGTCACAGACTCTGAAACAGGCTCCAGGCTCTGAGCTGGCAGTCAGCACAGAGCCCGACGCAGGGCTCGAACCCACGAACCGCGAGATTATGACCTAAGTGAAAGTCGGACGCTTAACCGACTAAGCCACCCAGGTGCCCCTTTAGGCACTTGATCTTAAGTCACGGTCATCTTGTCAGGTAGCTGTTATTATCCACAATCTGTTGTTATCCAGGGTGGGAGGGGACGCTTAGCTTAGTTAGCTTGCCTCAGTTTGTGGCCCAAACTGGATTTGAACCCAGATCTTTAAGGTTCTGAATCAACCATCCCATTTCACTGTTGGTGGCCTCAGATTCTGGGACTTTGTTCCCTTTCGAGAGGAGTCTGATGTGGGAGCACCCCAGGACCGATGACACGACCTTATAAAGTAGTTGTGGGGACTGAAGAGGGTGGTGCTGACGAGCCGCAGAGCGCAGGCGCACAGAAGGCCATCAGTGGGGGCGCTTTCATGCCATCAGGATTCCAGGAAATGTGACCTGGGCTCTCAAAGTGGAGCCTCTAAGGCATCAAGGGCCACCCATGACAGAAGAAGTCAGGGCTGGCTCGGCTGGTCACCAAGAATCACACACGTTTTGTGACTTTTCTCCTCTTCTAAAAAGAGGAAGAACATCATTTCCCAACAAGGTGCAGCAGCATTAGATGCTTTGAGAGGGAGTCTATACAGAATCGCAGAACTTGGCTGACCCTTTGGGGAGATCAGCGAGGTCAGGTGACCTGCCAGGACTGGACAGCCAGTTGGTGACAAGGCTGGACCCGGGTTTAGGCCTTCGTATGAGGCCTTGGTCGTGTGTCCTATCTGAGCTCTTTAAATGCTGGGTAGGCCAGGGCAGGTCCAAGGAGGAGAGGCCTGCTGGGGGGGGGCGGGGGAGGCCAAACTAGTTCTGTGGCCAGAATGCGCCTGGCTGCTCCTTATCTGACCAGGTAACCAGTGGACCCCCTAGGGGCCCACGACCAGCACTGGGAGTGAGCTCTCCTCCTTCAGGGTCAGAACGACCAGCTGAGGGAGCATCTCCCCTTAGGAGGTTGCCATGGGGATTCCCATTTTATTGGTTAAAAACAGTCTGAGAGAGAGAAGGTGACTTGCCTGAAGCTAGGAAGCCAGAGTCAGGGTTGGGCTTTTTTTTTTTTTTTTTTTTAATGTTTACTTATTTTTGAGAAAGAGAGAGACAGAGCATGAGCAGGGGAGGGGCAGAGAGAGGAGACACAGAATGCAGTGAAGCAGCCTGCAGGCTCCGAGATGTCAGAACGGAGCCTGATGCGAGGTTCGAATTCACAAGCCGTGAGATCATGACCTGAGCCGAAGTTGGACGCTCAGCCGACTGAGACACCCAGGCACCCCAGGGTTGGACATTTTCGATGACTAACTACTGAAGTCTTCCCGGGGGTGCGTCTGGACAGCCATGGGGTGGGGGGGGGCCGCACGAGTGAGGAGAACCCAGTGCAGGGGTGCTGCAATGACTCCCAGCCCTCCTGCCCTGCGTGACCTCCAGATCCGACAGGATGTCAGGGTCACCTGGGTCCCCCCCATGTTGGGGCAGGGCTGTTTCTCTACTCAGCTTCAGCCTCCTGCTTGCCCCCTGACCGCCCCCCCCCCCCACTTGCCCTGGGCTCACCTGGGGTGGGGGCGGGGCTCTGTGAGTTCCTCTCTGACCAGCGGCCACTCTGTGATCCACGGGAACAAGTCACACCTCAGGGAGCAGCAGTCTTGAAAATTGTGTTTGTTCCAGCCGTAGGGTGGGAAATTCCTTAAAAATTTGAGCTGGAAAGACCCACAGAGAGCTTCTAGTCAGCCCGTTCCTGGTACCGATGAGGACAGTGAGTCCCGGGGAGGGCAAGGGACTTGGCCAAGGCCACACAGCTCGTCACTGGTAACGGTGTTGGTACCAGAACCTGTGAGGGGCTTTCCTCCCAGTATTCTTTGGGGTCAGCAACCCGGGAAACCCCTAGGGCAGTAAGAAGCCAGCAGTGGGGTTCCAGTCAAGGGAGGCACATCCGTCGAGTGATTCATTCCCTCAGCGAAGACGGGAAGTCGTCCTGGTGCTGGCTGCCAGCCACGGGCTACCCGGTCCCCATCCTGGCTGGGACCCGGCCTGGCCCCTCCTTCTCAGCTCCTGACAAACACAGCGGTGCTTTGCCCTTTCTGGCATGAACCCCCAACCGCCCACCTGGAGTCTTTCTAGTGTCTTCTATATCCTGGCGCCAGAGCGGCTGAGTCATAGCTCAGCCCCCGACAGGGTAATGGGGAGAGGAGGAAGGCACGGGGCATTGCTCCCTTGTGCCAGTCCCAAAAGGCCAGCCTGGGGGGATCAGGGTCCCCTGCCAACCTGCGCTGGGACAGCAGGAGGCCCTCCTCCCCTTCTTCAACACCGGGGACTCTAGAATGGCTTCGGTTACCCAGACCCTGGGCCTCACACCTCAGGCTTGGTGAGTCAGGGCTGCCCGGGATGGGGGGCGGGGGCCGCCAGTGACAGCCGCACTCTGAGACACTCCCCACAGGGGTGGGGGGGGTGTGTGGACCCACCGCCTCCTGGAGAAGGTGCTGAGGGTGCTCCTGTAGACCTCAGAACAGCCTTAGGAGTGCTGTGCTGATCCTTTATTGCAGAGGAGGAAACTGAGGCTCAGTGTACCGAGTAAGACCAGCCCCTGGGCACAGTCAGGAAAGGGCAAGATTGCACTAGAACCCAGGAGGCCAGGCCCCACAGCACAAGCACCGAGCCCCAGGGCCTGAGAGTTTTGGTGATTAGAGGTTAGATCAGCCAGGGCGAGGAGGGATTTGGGGAACCAGAATGGGCAGTGGAGGTGAGGCCCCGGGGAGCCTCTCAGTGAACTGGGGGGCAGGGTCAGAAGCCCCTCCTCCATGCTGACGGCATCCCAGCCATTGCCATGGTGACGGGCTGTGGGTGGTTTCAAAGGGAGGACTAGTTCCCCAGGCACTCAGAGCCTCCCAGGAAGAGCAGGGCTGAGGCCAAGGGGGGGGCCAAGATGGTGGGGGATCTCAAGGTGGGGGAGCAAGCTTTCCAGAGCCTAAAAATAGAGCTGCGGCACCTTGACAGGAAGTGCCCCCCTGACCCTATGCCCTCATCCCCCCAACCCCCACTCCTCTTACCTGCTCCCAAGAGACCACCCCCATCCATCTCACGCTGTGCTGACGGCTCCCCCTCCACGTACCCACAGACCTGGGTTTACCTCCATCCTTTTCTGAGTCCTCATAGTGGCCTTAACAGAAGTAGGATTTGCTGCCATTTAACAGATGAGGAGACAGAGGCGGAGAGAGACAAACTGGCTTCTCTAGCCGGCAAGTGGCAGAGCCAGGTCCCTTCCCCAGGTCTGCCTGACCAAGTAGCGGATCGATCGCCTCTCCCGGGGCCCAGGAGCAGCCGCTTCCATGGGGCCTGCTGTGCGCAGGCAGCTTCCCCGTCCTGGGCGCGTGGCTGAGGCCAAAGCAGGCGGCAGTCGCTGTGAGACGCTGGGGCAGCACTTCAGGCCCGCTTCGGGCCACCCTCTTCAGGGTCTCCTGCTTCAGTCCTTGGTGCTCCGTCCTCAGCCCCCCGCTTCTAGGTCAAGGTCGGCCCTTTATCATCACGCTTCAGTTACTACAGGATGCTGCAGCCTCTCTCCATAGACTGCCTCTGGAGTCTTCTATGGCCTGTGACCCCGCTGCTGCCCTGGCACTAATAGCTGTGTTATCTTCAGCAACCCACTTAACAGTTCTGTGCCTCGGTTGTTTTTCCGTTCCCTGAAGCCCAGTCCTTCATTCTGGGTCTGGCCATTTCTCCGCACATAAGCAGATAGGGCCAGCCCGCGTGCCCCTCCAACCCCCTTGCGGCAGGGGTCCGAGCCCACCGGGGACCCTGAGGCTGCCTGGAGCAGAGCACCTGAGCCTCCCGTGGCTTAGACCAGGGAGAGATGACATGTCCTAATTCACTCTGCTCTTTGCCAGAAAAGTTTTATTTCCTGACACTTGACAAATATTTCATCTCATAGCTCTGTATCAGCAGCAAAATAACTTGGCTGCCTAGAGAGGAAGCAGGGAGCAGTCAGATAAATTAATTTACTGGCTGCCATCACGCTGATGGCTGGGGGCCCATCCGAGCCATGGGCCAGCGGGAGTTCTTGGCAGCAAATGGCCCTTCACCAGCCATGATCCAAGGGTCTTGAAATGTTTCTGCATCCCTGGAGCCACAGCAGAGAGGGGATCAGGAGCCGTGTTGACAGGGCAAAAGAGAAGACTTCAGAGCCCTTGGGTGATGACAGGGTCAGCCCCTGGCAGCTGAAGCTCCCAGTCTGGAAACTTCCTTCATAATAATAGCACTGGTGACAGCAGTGAGGACAGCTGCTGGCATTTATGAGGCACTTGCATGTGCCTGGCACTGTGCCTCGCATCGGTTGGGCCTTATTTGATGAAACCTCACCAAACCCCGAGAGATGGGTATCTCACACCCATTTCACAGATGTGGAGACTGAGGCCTAAGGGCAGTTAAGTCACTGGCCCGAGGTTCCACAGCAGGTAGGAGGTGGGGTGAATCTGAGGCCAGTTCCACCAGGAACAAAGCCCGGGCCTGTTGCAGAAAATCTGAGGGGCCAGCCGGCACAGCGGGAGGGCACAGGTGGCCCGAGCTGGGCCCTTCCCCAGATTCCGAGGGGATCCCTGGCCCTAGCTGTCTCTGACCCGCCCCTGTGCCCCACAGCTGAAGGAGCACCCGGAGAAGGGGGTGTACGTGAAGGGGCTCTCCATGCACACGGTGCACAGCGTGGCCCAGTGCGAGCGCATCATGGAGGCCGGCTGGAAGAACCGCTCGGTGGGCTACACGCTGATGAACAAGGACTCCTCGCGTTCCCACTCCATCTTCACCATCAGCATCGAGATCTACGCTGTGGGTACGCGGGGCCGGGTGGGCGCCAAGGGGGCGGGGCCCCTCGAACTGGGAGAAGACTCTCGAACTGCCCGGAGGCAAACCCAAGAGGCCCCTCCCGTGTTCGGGTCCATATTTCCAGGATAAGTGGCATGGACAACAATAATGGTAATACTAGTAGCTCGTTCACAGTGAGCACTTACTACGGGCCATGGAGTTTCTGTGCATTAGCTAATTTCCCCCTCACAGCAACCCTGGGAGGTGGATACCAACATCATCCCCATCTTACAGATGAGGAAGGCGAGGCCCCCACGACTAGACAGTGTCAGAGCTGGGCATCGATCCCGGGGCTCTGTCTCCAGGATCTACCCCCTGGACCTTTTGGGTTGTCCTTCTAGGCAGTGCTCTCCACTCTTCAGTCATCTCCCTCTTCCTTCTTTCTGGAAGAGTCCTTGGGGAGGGGAGAGGAAGGGAAGAAACGCATTTTTGTTTCTGGCCTCCTGTAGCTGCCATGTGAATCACTTCACACACTTCCGTGTAAACCCCACAATAGTCCTAGATGCAGGCAACTTCATTCCCATTGTACAGATGAGAAAACTGAGGCTCTGAGAGGTACAGTGGGTTGCTTGTGCAGGGTTCTGCAGCCAGTAAGTGGTGGAGCTGGGGTTTGAAGCCTGGTCTCTCTGACATCTGGGTTTCCCCACTAATACCGCAGCTGCCTCCCTGTCTGTGATCCATCATGAATAGAACCCTCGAGAGCACTGCAGTAGGATGCAGCCTTGGCCCAACCAGAAGCATAATTCTGGAGAGATCCCTGACCCAAAGTCAAGGCCGGGGCACCTCCTACTGCATCACTCAACCTGTGTGTGTACCTGGCTCCAAGTCAGATCACTTGGGTTGGCTGGGTCTGAGTCTCCTCGGGGTGCTGCTATGGGGAGGGTGGGGTCAATGAGGTCACGGCCTCACATGATGAGGTGTGAGCAGGGGCAGAGTCTAGGGCAGGGGAGGACAGAGCCTCTGCCCCTTGGTCTTTGCAGGAGGCTTTGGAGGTTGAGGCAGGCTGCCTGGCAACAGGCTTTCTGTGGAAACAATCTTTTAAGCAAATTTAAAAGGTGTTTATCATTTCCATTTTAAAATAAGTTCAATAAAGATAAGTCAGGGATTAGAGAAAGGTGGGGAAAACTACTCAGAAGCACAACTGACTATTAGCATTTGAGCATATTGGGGTTTTTTGGTCCCTTTTTTTTCCCCCATGAAAATTATAAACACGACCGGAATCGTACACCGTACATAGTTTCTCCTCTGCGTTTCATTCCCCGTGCCATTACTGATCATTGTTACTGCCATTTGTTTGTGACTATGGGTGCTGCCCGAGGGACAGTGTATCACGAATGCTCCTGTCTAACCATCCTCAGAGGGCTTTAAAGTTGTTTCCCGTTTCAGGGTGTTGTAAATAATGCCACGATGAACATCTTTGTGCACAAACCCTTTTCTGCATTTAGAGTTATTTCCTTGGATTACATTTCCTGGAGTAGACCTCCTGGGGCAAAGGGTATAAACCTGTTTAGGGCTTGTGGTTCATTCTGCCAACAGCTTTCTTGCTTTCTTTTTTTTTTTTTAAAAACTTCCCATCTTTTTTTTTTTTTTTTTTTTTTTTTTTTTTTTTTTTTTTTTTTTTTTTTTTTTAATGTTTTATTTATTTCTAGGAGAGAGAGAGAGAGACAGCGTGAGCAGGGGAGGGTCAGAGAGAGAGGGAGTCACAGACTGAAACAGGCTCCAGGCTCTGAGCTGGCAGTCAGCGCAGAGCCCGACGCGGGGCTCGAACCCACGAACCGCGAGATCATGACCTAAGCGAAAGTTGGACGCTTAACCGACTAAGCCACCCAGGCGCCCCTTTCTTGCTTTCTTTAAGTTTATTTATTTATTTTGAGACAGAGAGAGCACAAGCAGGAGAGGGGGAGAGAGACAGAGAGAGAGAGAGGCTGATAGCGTAGAGCCTGATGTGGGACTTGATCTCACGAACTGAGAGATCATGACCTGAGCCCAAGATCAAAAGTCAGATGCTTAACCGACTAAGCCACCCAGGCGTCCCCAGCCAAGAGCTTTCCAAAAGCACAATTCCAAGTTCCTCCTTCCTGCTGCTGCTTAAAAAAAAAAAAAAAAAAAAAAGCCTCAAACTTCAAGCCCCTCGCACGTCCAAGCCTCTACTGGGTGCCCGCCAGACTGTCTGTTTCTTTACTTCAGGTCGCTGTGCACATGGGCAAAGCTAGGCCAGTTCTGGTTTCAACCAGCAGGAGACTAAGGAGGAAGCCCCTGGCCCTCTGCCTGTCCCCTCGCATCTCATTGGAAACTGAGTCAAGCGATTTCCCCCAAATTTCATAGCTACTAAGAAATAGAATCAAGATTGGACCCCCAAGATCTGTGCATTCAGTCCCCGTGCTCTAAGCCCCTGCTGCCAGCCGGGGCCCGACTCCTGTCACCCTCAGCACCTGGGTCTGCCTTGCCCTCATGGCTTCAGTCACCATCACTGCAGAATTGGGCTTGTTCTCAGGGGGAATGAACCCCTGCTGTGTGCTGGGACCGACTCTGTGAAAACGTGCTGTCAGTTTACTTCACTCCTCCCAACAACCAGCCCCAGTGAGGACTTGTTGGTAGTTTCATTTTGTTGATGTGAAAATTAAGGATCAGAGAGGTGCATGGCTCTGCCAAGGCCACACAGCAAGGAGGAGGCAGAGGTGGGTTGGGAAGAGCCTCTAAAGCCAGTGTCTTTTGCCTTGAAGGATACAAGGTGCTGGTGACCCAGGCTTCCCAGGAAATCTGGAGGGGCTATGGTTATCACTGAAAGAAGTCTTACTGCACTCAGAGAATAGTCTGGACCTCCCAGCCCCTGCTCCCTAGTCAGGCAGCCCTGTGTTCTGATCTTGGACTCACCACTTAGCAGTGGTGTGACCTTGGGCAAGTCAAATGCCCTTTCTGAGCCTCAGTTTCCTCATCTGGAAGATGGGGACAGTAATTGTGCCTCTTTCACGGGGCTCCTGCGTGGCTTACATGAGACCCTTGGCGGGCGAGAGCGCTCGGGGCCTGGTGGCTGAGTGCCCTTCCCCTCTGCCGGGTCCCTTTGCAGATGAGCGGGGCAAGGACCACCTCCGGGCAGGCAAGCTGAACCTGGTGGACCTGGCGGGCAGCGAGCGGCAGTCCAAGACACGCGCCACGGGGGAGCGGCTCAAGGAGGCCACCAAGATCAACCTGTCGCTGTCGGCACTGGGCAACGTCATCTCGGCCTTGGTGGATGGGCGCTGCAGACACATCCCCTACCGGGACTCGAAGCTGACTCGGCTGCTGCAGGACTCGCTGGGGGGCAACACGAAGACGCTGATGGTGGCCTGCCTGTCACCTGCAGACAACAACTACGACGAGACGCTCAGCACGCTGCGCTACGCCAACCGGGCCAAGAACATCAGGAACAAGCCACGCATCAACGAGGACCCCAAGGACGCCCTCCTGCGCGAGTACCAGGAGGAGATCAAGAAGCTGAAGGCGATCCTGGCCCAGCAGATGAGCCCCAGCAGCCTGTCAGGTGCGTAGCAGGGGGAGGAGGGGGTGGAAGGGCCCAGGACTCAGAAGAAAGGCTCCCTCCCTTTGTCTTCCGCTTCCAGCTTCCCATCTGAGAGATGCGGAGGGAAGGCCACACCTCCTCTCCACTTCCTGCCTGCATAGCTTTCAAAAATATTTTTTTAATGTTTATTTATTTTTGAGAGAGAGAGAACCCAAGCAGGGGAAGGGCAGAGAGAGAGGGAGACACAGAATCTGAAGCAGACTCCAGACTGTCAGCACAGAGCCTGACGTGGGGCTCGAACCCAAGAACCGTAAGATCATGACCTGAGTGGAAGTTGGAGGTTTAACCAGTGGAGCCACCCAAGCGCCCTGCATAGCTTTCGATCAGTCAGAGAGAGCCCTGCGTGTGATGGCCGGACAGTGCCTGCTCGCTGATGGACCCAAGAGGTCTGTCTGCCTGTTCTGTCCGCTGCAGGCTCCATTGCCTGATCCCCGCCTCCAGGCTGCACACCCACCATCCCCCCCCACTCCCCGCCCCGTCTCCGCAGCATCATCATGCTGCGCTGCTTAGCAGCTGGTGACTCATTCCCCCACGTCCCACCCTGTCTCCCACTTAGGCACCTTGTGATTGCAGCTCTCACACCCAGGTTTTTGGCTGTCATCTGGCAAGTAGAAATCTATACCTGCAGCACAGGCTTGTCAGGGTCCTTGCAAACTCCAGGGGGTTTTTTGCCTGAGAATCCCTTGGGGAACAGAGCACAAAAGAGCCCGAGTCCATCTGTTCATTAATCCATCTCTCCACCCACCTTCCTTCTGTCCCTCCCTTCTGTGTACCCGTTCATCCACTCATCCATCCACTCTTCCAGCTACCCATCCATCCATCCATCCACCCATCCACCCACCCACCCATCCAACCATCCATCCATCCATCCATCCATCCATCCATCCATCCATGCATCCATCCATCCATGCATATACCTACCCAGCCAGCCACCCATCTACCCATTCACCCACCCACCCAGCCATCCCCCCATCGACTCACCTATCTACCCATTCATCTAGCCATCTACCCAGCCATCCATCCATTTACCCAGCCATTCACCCATGTACTCACCTATCTATCCATTTATCCATCCATCCACCCATCCACCCATCCATCCATCCATCCATCCATCCATCCATCCATTCATCCATCCACCCTCCTACCCATTTACTCATTCATCTACCTACCCTTCCATCTACCTACCTACCCTCCCACCCACTCCATTATTTACCCCTCTACCCACTTATTCATCTACTCAACAACCATCCATTTAACCCACCCATCCATTCACGCATTCCATCTACCCACCCCATCCATCCTGCCATCCATACCTCCACCCACTGGTTCACTCCATGCCGTCATCCATCCTTTTATCTGTGCTTCCACTCATCCATTCACCCATCCATTCACGGCTCACTGAGCACCCTCCTGGGTGTGGACCTTCCTGTCAGCCCTGGTCTCGCTGTGGTTCCTGGCCTATTTCTGTCTTACTGTTCAGCCAAACTTGAGACACTTGTGTATTTCCCCAGCCCCAGTTGCTCTCCCTTGCGCCTCGTGCGGGCAGGCCCTGCGCCCCGACACCCTGAGCCTGCCCCCGTCGCCCCCCTGTCCTCCTCGTTCAGTCTGGGGATCCCGCCCCAGGCAGGCCTCCCCTGTCAGCTCCCTTAGCCAACACCCCCCCCTCCTTTTTCTTATTAACGTTTATTTTGGTTTTGGGGGGGGAGGGGCAGCGAGGGAGGGAGAGAGAGAGAATCCCAAGCAGGCCGACAGCAGTGAGCCCAATGCAGGGCTCAAACCCACAAACCGCGAGATCATGACCTGAGCCAAAGTCAGATTCTCAACTGACTGCGTCACCCAGACGCCCCATCCCCTCCCTCCTCCTTGAAACCCTTGGTTTTGGATGCCCTGTGTCCTGGTGCTCCTCCTCCCTCTGCTGCTGCTCCTCAGGCCCCTGGCTGAGTCCTCCCCTCTCCCTACCCCCATATGGGGCTCACTAGGGTCGGGGCCTCCATCCTCACCTCTCCCCACACTCGTTCCTGAAGTGGCTTCACCTCATGGCCTTAAACCTCATCCCTGCTCCCTTGGCTCATGGGGGGCCCCCCAACCTGGCCGTGGGGCTGGTGTCGAGGTCTTATTTCATAAAGGGGACTGGGTGGGGGCTCGGGGAGGTCGGTGCTACTCATGGTGGAGGGCCGCAGGGGGAGCACCGTGTTGGTCGGGGAGGAGGGAGGAGCAAGGGGGATCCGGAGCCAGAGCTGGATTGGAGCCGGTACTGAGGTTTCTGTGGGGAGGGCGGGGCGGGAGCAGCAGCGTAGGCCTGGATGGTTTGAATGATTCCGGGGTGCCTGGGCGGCTCAGTTGGCTAAGTGTCCGACTTTGGCTCAGGTCATGATCTCACAGTGCATGGGTTTGAGCCCCGTGTCGGGCTCTGTGCTGACAGCTCAGAGCCTGGAGCCTGCCACAGATTCTGTGTCTCCCTCTCTCTCTGCCCCTCCCCTGCTCGTGCTTTGTCTCTCAAAAATAAATAAACATTAAAAAAATTATAAAAAATTGAGGGGCGCCTGGGTGGCTTGGTCGGTTAAGCATCCGAGTTTCGCTTAGGTCATGATCTCGCGGTTCGTGGGTTCGGGCCCCGCGTCGGGCTCTGTGCTGACTGCCGGCTCAGAGCCTGGAGCCTGTTTCAGTCTGTGACTCCCTCTCTCTCTGACCCTCCCCTGCTCATGCTGTCTCTCTCTCTCTCCTAGAAATATATAAAAACATTAAAAAAAATTATAAAAAATCGAATAATTCCCATGGGTTGGGGCTCAGGGGCAGTCCTTGCTCATCTAGTCCTGGCTCTCAGGGGGTTAGGGCAGGGGAGATCCCGGCTGGGAGTGTGAGACAGAAAGGCGGGTGTGGTGTGGACTTGGCAGTGCTTGGCTGGCACGTGAAAGGTGAGCTAATAACGGCTGGCAGGTTGTTGACTCTCTCTAGGAATTAGCCGGCCCCGCGAAGGGCTGTCTCTCCCTTGCCGGCAAGTCCCCCACGATGTCAAACATCACAAAATACAGAAAATGTAAAAAAAAACAAAAACAAAACCCCAAAAACAGTGACTACACAGTGCCCCCTGAATGCCAGCCTTGAATATCCAGCTGTTTCGTGAGTATTTCAAATGCAGCGTGTCCTACCCTGAGCTCCTGATCCTCCCCAACCTGCTTGTCCCCACTCAGGTGATGACAACATTCTCCTTCCGAGTGTTCAAGCCAGAAACCCTGGGGTCGCCCTTGATTTCTCGTTTTCGCTCAAACCCATATCCAGTCCAGCAGTAGATCTGGTCTCTACCTTTAAGATAATGTCCAGAATTTGTTCACTGCGGTCCCCTGAGTCGCTAGCATCTCCTACCTGAATTACTGCCAAGCATGGCCACACCCCAGCAAGTATCCCAGTGTCTGCCCTTATGCCCCTCAGTACATCCCCACGTAGCAGCCTGGGTGGTCCTGTTCAAATGCAAGTCCTTTGGTTGCCCTGTGCCAACTCTCTCTGGCCTGTTTACCCGAGTCAAAGCCAAAGCCCTCAGCACGGCTTCCAGGGACCCCACAATCCACCCCATTCCCTCTTGACTTCCTCATCACCCATTCTCTCCCTTCCTTGCTCCGCTCCAGCCACACTGGCTTCCTGGCTGTTCCTGGAACAGTCCATGCTCTCATCTGCCACAGGACCTTTGCACTCACTGCTCCCTTCTGTCTGGAAAGAATCTCTGCCTACTTCTCTCTGCCACCTCCTCCAGGTCACCGCCTTTGCCTTGCCTTGTCTGAAAGGTCTTCCTGAGCATGCTATGTAACCCTTCCCCTTGGTTCTTTCTCCTGAGCACCCTCCCTGCTCTCTTTCTGTTTCTAGAACACATCCCCTTGTACAGTGCTGGCATTTTGCTTATTTATTTTATGTGCTTCCTTCCTCCAACTGAAAACCCAATGTGGGTGTGGAGTTTTGTCTGTTTTGTTCCGTGGTATGTCCCTGTGCCGAGAACATACAGGTGCTCAAGAGATATTTGTTGAATGACTGAGTAAATTAGCATTCTGTATAGAGACGTGCTTGAAATAAATTCAAAACTGTGAAGTCTGTTTTGAATAAGCATGTAGTTGTGTCTTTATGGATTTCTGCTTAGTTCCTGCAAACCGCGTGCACTTTGGTCACAGCCCTGGTTTTCCATCTGTCTCCCAGCCCTGCTGTCTAGTCAGGCACCCCTAAGCCCTGTCCGGATTGAGGAGAAGCTGGTGCCCCCACCTGGGGTCCCCGCCGACACAGAGGCCGAGAAGCAGCTGATCCGGGAGGTGAGCCCCTGGGCAGGTGGGAGAATGGCGGGCAGCTCAACAGGCTGAGGCTCAGAGAGGTGCCATGACTTGCCCAAGGTCATGCAGCTAAGGAGAGTCCGAGCTGGGATGTGAACTCGGGTCCTGACTGCAGAGTGCAGTCCATCCCAGGTCAGGGCCTGTATGGGGGGAACCGGGAGGGGGGCGGGGGCATCTGCAGGAGCACCGTCTCTCCTCGGTACCCCAGGACGGGTGACTGTGGGCTGCTGGGAGTGGAGAAGGCCTTCCGGGTGGCGGGAATGGGCTGTCCCCCGGCAGGGGGGTCGGAGTGGAAGGGAGTTGGGCCCCTCTGCAGGTGCCAATGAGAGCTGGGCAGCCCGGGTGGGCAGTGGGGAGCCCCCAGGCACCCATTGGACCAGTGGATATGTGGAGTGCTGGCCTCCCTGAGAAAGCTGTCACCTAGGGGCACCTGGGTCGTGCTCCCACGTGTGTGCCTTCCAACATCTCTGGAGAGAAGCAGGGTAGGCGATAGTCATACACGGACTTACAGGTGTCGAGCTGATCCTGGAGGAGGGGGACTTATGCAGCCTGACTCGGCACAGCTTCCTAACTGCCTGCTTAGGCTCCGTCCACACGCCCTGCTGGCTTCTGGAGATTCCTGCCAGCCTAGGGTCCCATGCAGAGACCTGAGCATGGGCCTGGGACACTGGCTCTTTCCCGGTGGAGGAGTAATGCCAGGCAGGGACAGCTCTTCAGGGACTGGGGTCTGGATATGTCTGCCTCTCAGCTGTCACCTCAGGTGGGATCAGCCCTGGCGCCCCTGGGAGCCCTCGCGAGGCCATGGGGGCCTAGGGCCCAGCGTTTGGGGGGCAGACAGGGTAAGGCCTGGGAGTCTGAGTCCCATGGGCTGGAGGACTGGGAGAAATCCACCCCAGTCCCCAAGGGCTGCCCATGACAGGCAGAGGCTTTTACTTCTCGGGGAGAGGCGCGGTTGTGACCCCTGATGGCCTTTGTCCTGGCCCCTGTGAAGATCCTGGGAGCCCAGGGCTCACTGCCCTTCCTCTGCTCGCCTGGAGGGTCCTCTAACATAGGAAGCCATTGAAACACGGCCTAATGGACGGGAGTGAGGGTGCCATGTGGAGAAAGGTTTGGGGCAGGGGGAGCCCCTGGGGGGCAAGAGCGGGGGAGGGGACGGGCTGGGAGGCTCTTTGCACCAGACTGACGGTGACCGCAAAGATGGAGGGAGAAGCAGAGGAATAAAAATGTATTTCATCCTCGATAGCCTGAGCACCATTTGGCTAAAACGTATTTATTGACACGCACAGGCATTCATGATATACTGCTTTTTTTCTTTGATTGTGATTTGTTGCTAGTTTCTTTTTTTTTTTTTTTTTTAATTTACGTCCAAGTTAGCATATAGTGCAGCAATGATTTCAGGAGCAGATTCCTTAATGCCCCTCACCCATTGAGCCCAGGCCCCACCCCCACCCCTCCGGGAACCCTCTGTTTATTCTCCATATTTAAGAGTTTCTTATCTTTTGTTCCTCTCCCTGTTTTTATATTATGTTTGCCTCCCTTCCCTTATGTTCCCCTTTTATGTGTCTTAAAGTCCTTATATGAGTGAAGTCATATAATATTTGTCTTTCTCTGGCTGACTGATTCCGCTTAGCGTAATACCCTCTAGTTCCATCCATGTAGTTGCAAATAGCAAGATTGCGTTCTTCTTGATGGCCGGGTAATACTCCAGTGTGTGTGTGTGTGTGTGTGTGTGTGTGTACATCTTCTTTATCCATTCATCCCACATGGTATATTGCTTTGTGGAAAGATAGAGTATAAACAAATATTATATAACTGGCCTGTTAAAAATGGAGAGTAAAGTTCGGAAGGGTCCTCACCAGCCAGGAATCATCCCAGGGTGTGTAGACCATTTTAACTTGTGGCTTATCGGTATTTCCTGGGTTGTTTGAATGCCAGAAACACAGAAAGCTGTGTTGTGACGCAGTGATGTGACGCAGCGCCCCCCCACCATGTTGCCCCCCCACCTCCAGGAGTATGAGGAGCGCCTGGCCCAGCTGAGGGCCGACTACGAGGCAGAGCAGGAGTCCAGGGCCCGGCTGGAGGAGGACATCACTGCCATGCGCAACTCGTACGACGTGAAGCTGTCTACACTGGAGGAAAACCTGCGAAAGGAGACAGGTGGGTAGCCAGCTGGCCCCCCTCCCCGTTTTACTGACATCTGTAGAGCACTTTCTGCGCACCAGGCTCAATGCCGGGTACTCCTCACAACAGCCCAGCGAGGTAGGAACCAGAGTTACCCTCACTTTATAGGTGAGGAAACTGAGGCACAGAGAGGGTAAGTAAGTTGTCTGTGGTTACACAGCCAGTGCAGTGGCGTCAGGATTGGAACTCAGGCAGTGTTCTCACTCACGCAGCGTTGCATCTGTGACACCTTGGCCACAGGCTGGGTTGACTTATCGCCCATGTTTCGTGGGCGAGTTCCTTCCCTGGTGTCTGTGTGTTCTAGTCTCCTCACCCTTTTGAGCCTACCTGTTATCAGAGCAAACACATCCCAAAATAAGGACACTGTGATTAGCGAGAACTTTCACCTTGCTGAAAATTTTCATTGTCTTTTTGACATTCTAGAATGTTCCACCCTATCACTATCATTCAAATACCTATGCTACCAGGCAGCTCAGACCTAGTACTCCTCGAAATACCGTAAAAGCCGTCTTGTGTCGATGACGGTGTTAGCCAGTCGTGGGTACCATTTATCGGGCACCGCTGTGTGCCAGGTGCCCCCTTGGTGAATTAGGGTGCACTGAGCCTCACGTCACCTGTGTGCAGACTGAGGCTTGGCTGCAGGCCACTGGGCAAGGGAGTGGGTGTCTTTTTTCAGCAAAGGGACCATCAGGACTCCCTCAGGGGAGCCCACGACCCAGCGACAGAGAGGTAGGTGGACGTAGTGGCAGTGGGCTGGGAGCACGGAGGTGGCCTGTGTGCTGCAGCTCCGTGCAGGCCGGCAAACCCGGAGGAGAGGGAAAGGCAGGTTCTAGTGTTTTCTGTCCTGGAGTGCTCCTCCAGTCCGCTTTGGATGTTAGGCCTCTGAGTGACTTTATGTGGTCTGACATTCCCCCACAGTGTCCATTTACCTCCCACGGAACGTGTGTGTCCTGTGGACAAGAGCCCTGAGCAGGGCACCCCTGCAGGGGCCCGTCGGGGTCTCGCGTGTGAAGTCTGCTTGCTGATCAGGAGTTGTCAGCATGAGACCCACAGGGCAGTCACCTTATGTGATAAGAGCAGTTCCAAGGCAGGGTGGTAAGAGCCCAGCACCTAATGGCTGGGGACGTCAGAGAATGGACGTAGTGCCAGTCAGGGAAGACTTCCTGGAGGAGGTAGGAGGAGATGGGGTGTGAGTTCTGGAGATAGAATAGAGGGCAGAGATGGGAGGCCAGTATTTGGGGGCCTCGGAGGCTCTCTGAAGCCCACCCCTTAGAGATGGTGCACTTGGGCCAGCTCCCAGGGGGCCCCTCACCCTACTCTGGAAGAAGTAAAGGGAATCTCCATTTGCAGAGGCTGTCCTGAAGGCGGAGGTCCTCAAGGCGCAGGGCACGTCCAGGGCCAAGTTTGCCAGCAGGTCTGAGTACTTGCCCACGTTCCACTACGAGATGGCCGTGAAACCCGAGGTCTACTCCATGCCGCACTCTCTGCCCGGCGAGGACGTCTCCAGCACCGAGGTCTCTCCCGGGTTCGAGGAGCTGCCAGAGGCGGGGGCCTCCAAGTCCGAGGCGGGGTCTGACGGGTCTTCCGCGCTCGAAGAAACCTCCGTGTCCGAGGCCTTCCTGGGGCCCCAGGAGCCCTCCGACCCGGAGTTCTCCGTGCCCGAGGTGGAGGCCAGGAGCAGATATTTCCCAGACGAGTATCTCGGCCAGGAGGCCACGGAGCCCCTGCTGCAGGAGGGGAACGTCCCCGAGGAAGAGGGGCCGCCGCCGCTAGCCCTGGACCTGTTACCGGGCCTGCGCGACCCGTTTGCTGGGGTGGAAGCCAAGCTGGCCAGGCTGTCCTCCACCGTGGCTGCGGCCCAGGTGCCCCTGGCAGACATCCCCGAGGTCCCCGTGCAGGTAGCTGATGTCGCCCAGGCCGCCGTGTGGGAAGTCAGTGGGTGGAGCTCAGCTGGGGACACATAGGTCACCAGGCACGTGCAGATGTCTCACCTCTGCTGCCCTGGTGCCACCGCCGCCGCTGACTCTGCAGTGGCTCTGGCTTGGCGGCCGGCCTGCGGGCTCCAGTGTCCAGGGCCCCGGGAGGGGAGAAGCTCTGTCTCGGGCTCTGCACACTGGGGGGCGGAGGGCAGGAGGGATGGAGGCAGGAGGCTCTGCCAGGTGTGCACCTGTTCTGCTGACAGAGGGATACCCGTTTTGGGGATGTGCTGAGTTGCCATGGTTACGCTGAGCTGCCAGCCCAGAAAGAGCCTGCCCTTGTGCAGAGAGCCCGCCCAGCCCTCGTGTGGGAAGGCAGCTGCAGTTCAGGGACCCCCGCCCCCTGCCCTGGGGGTCTGGTGGGGCCGCTCTCCCAGCCTGCCCCTTTGTCTTGTCCGATGCCTTCTCCCCTTTCCATCCCCTGCGATGTTTTACTTTCTCTTCCTCTTCTCTCCCTTTTGTCCTTTTTCCTTTTTGTTCTTTTTCCTTTCCTGCATGCGCATGTGCGTGTGTGTGTGTGTGTGCATGCGTGCAAAGAACGCAGGCCTTTGAGGCAGGCAGACCCAGGTTAAATCCCAGCCCCACCGCTCACTCAGTTGTGCAACCTTGGGCAGTCACCTTTCTGGGCCTTGGTTTCCCCTTCTGTAAAATGAGGATGCTGATGTGAGCTTCACCGGAGATAGTGCAAGCAGGGAGCACAGGGGAGAATACTCCCTCCCCCTTTCTCTCTTCCTCATTCTCTCATCTCCTCGCCCCTGCTCCCTATCTGTCTCCTTAGCTGTGATAGGAGGAGGTGGGGGCTTGATGAGGCGTGGGGCTGGGGGCGTGGGGTACTGAGGGAGGTCAGGGAGCGGAGGATGATTCTGGCCCACTGTCCCTCTCCGCTCCCCCCCCCCCCCCCCCCCCCCCCCCCCCCCCCCCCCCCCCCCCCCCCGCCGGCCTTCTGCAAGCACCCCTCCCTGATGGATCTGCTGGGGCCTGATGGGGATGACGTTAGGTCTGAAGCCAAGATGGCTGACTACCTTCTGCTCAAGACTGTGAGTTCCTCCCTGGGCCAGACCCTCAGGTGGGGGGAGGAACTCCAGGAGCCTGGGTCTTCCCGTGACACTCTGGGCCTCAGTGTCATCATCCACAAAACAGGAACCATGACCCCAGCCCTCGCTCAGCTTATCAGAGATGGCCTGTGTACAAATGGAGAAACCGTCCTCTTATTATTGATGTGATTAAGAGGCCACCACTCGGCAATTTTCTGACTTCCCTTGGCCTGAGGAGCTCATCTGAAGCACGGAGGCCCAGTGTGTGCTGAGGGCGAGGGCTGCGGGCAGGGGCCGGGGTCCCCCGGGCGCTGGCAGGGACTGCCCAGGTCCCGTTTTGAACACTGCTGCTCTCAGACCCCCCCACCCTTTTCTCTTCTGCTTAAGAATCACAAAAGGCCACAGGGAATGAGGGGAAGGCTTTAAATCTGCCCACATGTCGAGAGAGAAAAATATCTGGCAGCCTCCGGACAGGGTCACTGGGTAGGAGCTGGTACACTTCAGGTTCTCAGTAGATGCAAGGCAGGGTGGCCAGGGGAGCCCTGGCTGTAAGGTGACATTGACATGGGACCCGAGCAGGAAGAAGGTGCCAAGGGCAGAGCATCGAGCCAGGGGGATGGCATGTGCCAAAGTCCTGTGGCTGGGAAGATCTTGACTTTCTCAGCAATGGGAAAATGAAGCCAGAGAAGCAGCAGGGGGAGAGGCAGGGGGAGGGGGAGGGGAGGCAGAGGGGGAGGCAGTGAGAGGCACGGAGGGTACCTGAAGGCTGTGGAAGAAGCTGGATTTAACTGCAAATGCACTGTGAATCTGTAATGGGTTCTATTCAGGAAAGAGCTGGGACTGATACGTATTTGGAGAAAATTGCCTGGCTACCACGGAGAGCCTGGGCCTTCAGGTGGAGGAGAGTGAGATGGAGACTGTTTCAGGATGTTGGACGAAATGGTGGCAGTAGGAACCCAACTGGACGCATAACTGGGTGCCTCCAAGCCAGAAGTGATCCATCCCAGACCGTGAGGGGCCCACACGCCCCCACCTGGAATTGAGGCCGCAGTGAGCTTGGGTGCAGGGGCCGGCCCCTCAGCCTTCACCTTGGTTTCTCTTTGTGCTCAGGAGGTTGACCGGGGCCCAGAAATGGCCAAGGAGGTGGTGTCGGCAGCAGAGCCTGGCATAGGGGCCGAGGCTGAGGCCCAGGTGGCCTCGGAGGCTCAACCTCAGCCCTTGCTGGTCATGACAAATATGAGAAGGGATGGTGTGGGCATGGAGGTGGCGGTGCTGACCGACGACCTGCTGCCCGTTGTGGACCAGCAGCAAGTGCTTGCCCGGTAAGTGCTGCTTGGGGCTGTCAGGACCCCGTAGCAGGACAGGACAGAGCTGTGCCCTGGACTTGGGGATGGATCTATCCAGATCCGGGGCTGGAGAGGCCCCAATCCTCTGTCCAGGAGCAGAGGGACAGGGATGGTGCTGATCAGTGGGGTGGGCAGGGCTCTGCTCAGGGAGCCGATGGGCACCCCCAGACTCCATCAGGCACCTGCTCCAGGAGAAAGGGAAGGGATTGAGTCTGCCTGGCATCCACAGGGCCTGGCCGTCAGGTTTCAGGGATCCCAGGGCAGGGTGATGCAGGTGCTCCTCAGCTCCCAGAGAGCCTCCGGTGCCCTCCTGATGCCAGACCTGCTCACCCTAGGGACCAGCCACCCCAAATTCCCTCAGATGCTGCCTGCCTGGGGAGCGGGGATTTTTTTCTTCATTCTATGCAGATCACTTCACATTTCTGAGCCTTGGTTCTCACTTCTGTAAACGCAAATAACCTCTGTGACAAAGTCAGCACCATGGTCAGGGGCTCAGCCTCCTAGTGGTGGTAGATTTTGTCCCATAGTCCATGGTTCAGCTGTGAACTGAGCAGCAGCTATGTGCTGGGCACCAGGTCTCAAGGAAAAATGAGCTCCTGACTTGGCCTTCAAGGCGCTCACGGTCTGGGGGCGGGGAGACAGATACCCAGGTCCAGGGAGAGCCAGCTTCCGTAGCAACGAGCAGCAAGTGGGTTGTGCAGTCGACTGGCCTCGGTTCCTTCCACCTCCACCACTACCTCCTGTTACCACCTGGGTCCCACTTAAACCTCCCTGTGCCTCAGCTTCTCAGCTACAAAATGCTGATAGTAGGAGCTCCAGCTTGAGAAGCTCATCATGAGGGTCCAATGAGACAGTGCCTGCAGAGACCCAGCAGTGGTGCCCGAGGAAACACACAGCACCTGTGGCCGTGTTCAGGGTGTGGTCTGGGGTATCGTCAGGGAAGGCTGCTTCTGTTTCTTCGAGTAGTTTGCTTAGTGACACTCAAGTGAGGTTTGCAGGACAGATGCCTCAGGGTGGCGTTTGGGATACAGGGCACAGCCCAGATAGCACTGCTGTGCCAGGCGGAAAATGTGGGCTCTGGGAGGCCGCTGGCGGGTGGCGGGTGGGTTGGCTCTGCATCCGCAGGGAGATTCTCACCCATCCTGTCGTGCAGTTGAGCGCACAGGCTTGGACTTGGGCAGATCTGCCTGGAGCCCTGGTTCGGACCCGGGCCAGAGTCAGAGCCTGCGGCTGTCTGCGCGAGGGGTTGTTGCACAGACCCCACAGCGACCTGCAGGACAGCCAGGGCGCGGGGATGGCCACCCACGGTCACGTGTGCTTGCTTCTCCGTGCGGCAGTTTGCAGCTGCTGGAGCAGCAGGTGGTTGGCGGGGAGCAGGCCAAGAACAAGGACCTGAGGGAGAAGCACAAGCGCAGGAAGCGATATGCGGACGAGCGCAAGAAGCAGCTGGTGGCCGCCCTGCAGAACTCGGACGACGGCGACTGGGTGCTGCTCAACGTCTATGACTCCATCCAGGAGGAGGTGCGCGCCAAGAGCAAGCTGCTCGAGAAGATGCAGAGGAAGGTGAGGCCCCGGCCCCGCCCGCCTCCCCCTCCGCACCCAGGTGGCCCAGGTGACGCTAGGCGGGCGTTCGTAGTTCCCGCCTGGCCGGAAGTGGGCGTGTCTCAGCTGTGGGCGGGGGGCGCGGGGGGGGGGGGCAGTGTGTGTGACTCAGCAGGGAGTCCATCATCAGCAGGGAGTCCATCATCAGCAGGGAGTCGGGCAGAACAGCGCCCGTGAGAGTGCCCGCGACAGGTACTCGGGGAGCCTGGCTCCGTTTTTATTTTCTCATTGTTTTAAAGGTTTTTTATTTATTTGAAGACACAGAGCATGAGTGGGGGAGGGGCAGAGAGAGAGAATCCCAGGCAGGCTCCGAACTGTCAGCACAGAGCCCGATGGGGGGCTCGAACTCACAAACCATGACCTCCTGACCTGAGCCGAAACCAAGAGTTGGACAGGTACCTGACTGAGCCACCACGCACTCCTTTTTCATTTTGATCGAAGTATAAACATACACATCGCAAACGTGCAACTTAATTCAATTATTTCCACAAAGTGGATGTGCCCATGAACCCAGCCCCCAGATCGAGGAACTGAGAGCATTAAGAAAACCTCAGAAGCTCCCGGGGCCACCTTGGGTGGGGGGCAGGGGGGTTCTCATGGAGGCAGTGACTTCTGAGGTGGGACCTGAGCATTAAGAAAGGCCGGGCCCTGTCGTGTGTCGTGACCTGAAGGAAGAGCCTTCCAGGCCGAGAGAGGGGCCAGTGCCGAGCATGTTAGCAGCTGCAGGAACACAGGAGGTGAATGTGACTGAGCGCAGGGAGTGAGGACAGGACCCAGGAGGATGAGCTGGCACCTGCTTCTCTCAGCACCCTCGGGTGCCCCGGGCCCCCTCACGTGCCCCCTCGGCCGTCTGCAGGGCTGTCCCTCGTCCCCACCCACACCACCAACTGAAGGATCTCAGCAGTGGAGGCTGATGCTTTTCTCTCTTTGAACCTCTGTAGTTTTTAAATTTTCTTGGCTATTTTCGTGCTTTTTATTTTTATTTTTTTTTAAGTTTATTTATAGAGAGAGGAGAGAGAAAAAAAAAACACAAGTGAGGGAGGAGCAGAGAGAGACAGAGAGAGAGAGAGAATCCCACATGGGCTCCACACTGTCAGCACAGAACCCGAAGAGAGGGTTGAACTCACAAATCGTGAGATCGTGAGCTGAGTCAAAGTCGGACGCTGAACCCACTGAACCACCCCGATGCCCCCCCCCCACTTGACCCTTTTTATGTTTTCAGCCAAATCTGTTCTTCCAAGGATATCTTGAATTTGGTCTACGTACCTCAGTTTTGTTTTGTGTTTTTTTTTTTAATTCTTTCTGGAGTTCTGTTAATGTCTCATTTTACATCTTCTTCGCTTTTTCGTCCATTTCCACTGTAAGTGTTTGGATTGCTGGCTTGAAATGTCCCTATGTGTGAATTTAAGGAGATTTTGTTCCAATTGGGATGCTGGGGTACATTTTGGTTCCGCGTGCTTGTGTTTTAGGGAGGGGATTTTCTTCTGCTGAAATGCTTTGATTTTTGTTTTCTGTTTCTTATAGTACCTTTGCTTAGCTACTTCTGCTCTTTCCTGCTTAGTTTGCAATGTCTTGTGTTTTCTGCACTCTGGGGACCAGCAAGCAGGAAGCAGAGGGGAAGGTTCGGGCAGCTGGCTAGGTTTGCTCAGTCGATAGCGCCCTCTTCTGTTCAGATAGTGAAGTGCAGTGTTGAATAGACTTCGTCCCCTATTGCTGCGGTAGCTCGCATAGCACCACAGACAGAGTTGCCTAAAAGAACAGCTCTGTGGGTCAGCATCCAGCTCTGGCATGGCTGGCTCTTCTGCTTAGAATTCCAGAAGGCTGCAGTCAAGGTGTTGGCAGGGTCAGTTTCCTTCTGGAGGCTCTAGGGAAGAATCTGTTTCTAGGGCATCTGTTGACAGGATTCTGTCCTATGTGGTTGTAGGACTGAGGTTCCCATTTCCTTGCTGGCTGCCCGCTGGGGGTCATTCTGTTTCTAGAAGCTGCCTGCCTTTCCCAGCTCATGGCCCCCCTGAAGGACAGCCAGGGCCAGCCCCTCCCAGACCTCAGCTCTCTCACTCTACCCTTGTCTCCTTCGTCTGAAGCATCACTTCTAAGGCCTGTTCTCTGCCCGGCTCTCTGTTCCCCTTCTGCAAGGCCTGTGTGGTTACACTGGCTTCACCAGATGGTCCAGGGTAATCTCCCTGGCTTGAAGTCAACCAAGTAATGACCTTAATTCCATCTGCAAAGTCCTTTTCACCGTGTAAGATAATATATTCACGGGGACACCTGGGTGGCTCAGTCGGTTAAGTGTCCGACTTCAGCTCAGGTCATGATCTCACAGTTCATGGGTTTGAGCCCTTGCATTGAGCTCGCCACTGTCAGTGAAGAGCCCGCTTCAGATCCTCTCTCTTCCTCTCTCTCTCTCTGTCCCTCCCCCACTCATTCTCTCTCTCTCTCTCTCTGTCTCCCTCTCTCTCTCTCTCAAAAATAAGTAAACATTAAAAAAAAAAAAAAAAAAGATAACATACTCAGAAGCATGCACCAAGGGTTGGAAATTCCAAAAGTTCACTCTGACTTTTGGGTTCTATTTCTCTCCCTCTCTCTCCGTGGGAGGGGTCAGTGTGTCTTTTGTGATTTTCTCTTATTTCTGCAGGACTTTTAACTTCCCCCTCCAGGGGCCTCCCACCTGTAAGCAGCCTCCAGAAGCAATGCCTTGCAGAGACTAACCCCTCAGTCTCTACAGAGACTTGCAGAGACTCCATCTGGTAGAGTCTGACCCACATTCCAGTCTCTTCCATCGGTTTCGCAGCATCAGATCCATTGTTTGGTATTTTCCCACTCAGAATGGGGCTTTCTCGCTTGGGGAGTGATTTTATCTGCCTTCCATCACCCTGCCTTCCCCCTCCCACACTTTCCTGGGTGCTTTCCCCTCCTCCCTGCTGTGGGGTGGGCCCACAAGCTGTCTGCTGGGCTTCCGGTATTTCAAAGCTGCTGGTGTTCTCTGTGTTTGGATCAGTAGGTTTTATTTTCTCTCTGTTCAGTATTGTTTTGAAGGGCCTGTCTGGAGAGATTCAGGTTTATCCCTGTCGTTATCCCCAGGTATCCAGAACATATTTTTTAATGTTAAAAAAATTTATTTATGAGAGAGAGAGAGAGAGAGAGAATCCCAAGCAGGCTCTGTGCTGTCAGTGCAGAGCCCGATGCGGGGCTCGAACCCACAAACCACAAGATCATGACCTGAGCCGAAATCAAGAGTTGGATGCTTAACAGAATGAGCCATCCAGGCCCCCACTTTTGTTTTCTTAATATAGGCAAATACGTGTGTGTGCCAATCTGCTGCCCTTACACATACATACCCTCCCCCTTCCTAGATAAAGACACTCACCTCTCCCTAGTCCTTTTCACATGATGATCCACCCTGGAGGTCACTCAGCAGCAGGATCTAGGAATAGTCCTTTCCTTTTTACTGCTGCATGCTGCCCATCGTGAGGGTGCGTCATTGCTTATTCCAGCAGCCCCCTCACCTCTCTTTTTTTAGAATGTTTACTTATTTTTGAGAGAGTAACAGAGTGAGAGCAGGGGAGGGGCAGAGAGAGAGGGAGACACAGAATCCGAAGCAGGCTCCAGGCTCTGAGCTGTCAGCACAGAGCCCGACGCGGGGCTTGAACCCAGGAACCGTGAGATCATGACCTGAGCCGAAGTCGGACGCTTAACCAACTGAGCCACCCAGGCGCCCCTCCAACAGCCCTCTCTTGAGGGACATTTGGATTGTCTTCCAGCTTTTGCCAGGAAAAAGTGCTCTGCAGTGAGTAATCAGCACACACTGCTTTTGTATTTGCGGTAGGTTTACTTTGGAATCAATTCCTCCAGCTGGAGTCAGTTGCTGAGATGGAGAGGAAATGCATATGTGACTTCCGGTAGCTACTGCCAACTTCTCCTCCCTGCAGGTGACTCCCTTTGTGGTTCCACGAGTCTGTACCAGTGTGCTTTCTCACGGGCTCGGCAATGCATGTTTCTCTCACTGTCGAGCCAGGCTGGCCATTCCCTCCTATGTTTTAGGGACGGCTGCGGTTCTGAACTGGGCTCTTTTGCTCATTTCCCCCTCAGCAAATGCTGCTTCCTTTCCTTCTCCACTCCTAGAAGCTCTTTACAGCAGGAGTATTGTAGTTTATACTGGGGATATTCATATTCCTTGGTCGGTGACCAATTTCTTCCTCTGTGATATAAGTTAGAAACATTTTTGTTCTGATTTCATTTGTCTTTTTACTATGCTTTATGGTTTTTTTGCCCTGCAAAAGTCTTTTTTTTTTTTTTAAGTTTTACTCTGTCAAATTAATTGACATTTTATTATCACATATAGATTCTGAGTCACCATTGGGGAAGTTCATTTATGTTCCCTTCTAGAACGTGTATAGTTTCGGGGCGCCTGGGTGGCTTAGTTGGTTAAGCATCCGACTTTCGCTTAGGTCATGATCTCGCGGTTCGTGGGTTCGAGCCCCGCGTCGGGCTCTGTGCTGACTGCCAGCTCGGAGCCTGGAGCCTGTTTCAGTCTGTGACTCCCTCTCTCTCTCTGACCCTCCCCTGCTCACGCTGTCTCTCTCTCTCTCTCCTAGAAATAAATAAAACATTAAAAAAATTAAAAAAAAAAAAAAACGTGTATAGTTTCTTTCTTTCTTTTTTACATTTAAATCTCCGATCCACTTGGAATTCATCCTGATGCATGTGTGGGGAGCTGATTCAATAGGAGGTGTTCCGGGTTGCTCTCCAGTTTTCCCAGCGCCATATTTTGAAAAGTCTGTTTATTCTCCACTGACTTCAGCTGCTGCCTTTATCGTATGCTAACGTAAGCACTTAGGTGTATCTCTGATTTTTTTTTTTTATTTATTTCTGGGAGAGAGAGAGACAGCGTGAGCAGGGGAGGGTCAGAGAGAGAGGGAGTCACAGAATCTGAAACAGCTCCAGGCTCCGAGCTGGCAGTCAGCACAGAGCCCGACGCGGGGCTCGAACCCACGAACCGCGAGATCATGACCCAAGCAAAAGTCGGACGCCCAACCGACTAAGCCACCCAGGCGCCCCTCTGATTTTCTATTCATTTCTCTTGTTTTGTCCATTCATGTACAAGTGCCAGCCACTTTATTCATAGTAATTCAGGGGCTTTATAATATGTTTTGTCATTTCACAGGACTAATCCTCTGTCAGATTTTCTTTTCTATCCTGGATATCCTTTCTTGTTTTTTTTTTCCCCCAAATGAACTATATGAACAATTGAGCTAGTGCAAAAGAAAAGGGGGAGAGAAACAAAGACAAAAATTGATGGAACTTTTGGAGGAATCATAATTTATAAATTAGCATGAGGGTATTGATACCCTTATGAGGTTGGATTTTCATGTTCAGGAACATGGTATGTCTTCTGTTAGTTCAGATCAATTTTTGTGTCACTCAAGAGTGTTTTATAAATTTCCTCACATAGGTTTTGAATGTAATCTTGTTAATTTCACACCTATTTTTTTTATTTGTATTTTTTTAAATTTGCTTTCCTCTGTGGGTTATCCTCTTCCATTATGTCTTCTCACTGGATTTTATTTGTAAAGTGAAGACTAGGGGTTTAAAAAGTATCTTTTACAAGTCATTGTGAAATAGAAGGGAATACCTCCTAACATTCTGTAGGACCAATGTCACGTGATAACAAAACCATACAAAGACATAACAAGAAAACTACAGATTAATATTTCTTATGAATACAGACACAAAATGCTCCACAAAATTCTAGCAAACCAAATCCAACAACATGTGAAAAAGATTGTACATCCCACCAAAGGAGGATTTATCTAGGAATGCAAGGTTGGTTTAGTATCCAAAACTCATTTAACACAAGACACCATACCAATAGAATAAACAACAACAGCCATATGATCATCTTAGTAGATGCAGAAGAAGCATTTGGAAAAAAATCAACATCTGTTATTATAAAAACATTCAGGAAACTAGGACTAGAAGGAAACTTCTTCATTCAGATAAAAGGCATCTATGAAAAATCCACAGAAAACATCGTACTCAATGGTGAAAGACTTAATGCCTTCCGCCTAAGGTCAGAAAGAAGACAAGGATGTCTGCTCTCACCACTTCTATTTAACATTGGGCTGAAGGGTCTAGCCAGGTCACTTAGGCAAGAAAGTGAAATAAAAGTCATTGAGTCTGGAAAGGAACAGGTACAAAGATTTCTGTTTGCAGATGACATCATCTTAGGTAGAAAATCCTAAGGAATCCACTAAAAAAACCCCAAAAAACACCTAACTACTTCAGCAAGGTTGCAGGATACAATATTAATAAGCAAAAAGCAGTTATATTTCTACATACTCGCAATGAACAATCTGCAAATAAAATTAAGAAAACAATTCCATTTACAACACATCAAAAAGAATAAAATACTTAGGAATAAATTTTAAAAAGAAGTGCAAAACTATATGCTAAAAATTAGCAAACACTGTTGAAAGAAAGAATAAATGGAAAGATATCCCATGTTCATGGATTAGAAGACTTAATATATTTTTTAAAGTTTATTTCTTTGTTTTGAGAGGGAGAGAGACAGAGCATACAAGTGGGGAGTGGGAGGGGCAGAGAGAGAGGGGGGAGAGAGAGAATCCCAAGCAGGTTCTGCACTGCCAGTATAGAGCCTGATGCAGGGCTCGAACCCGTGAACCATGAGATCACGACCTGAGCAGAAATCAAGAGTCAGATGATTACCCAACCACCCAGGCACCCCACGAAATGGAGCATTAATTGCCCACCTGCGTTCTACCAAGCATCCTCTGCTTTCAACTGGTTACATGTGATGACCCATGAATTTGAAACATCCTCTTTACTAATCAAACTGTATCTGCTCTTTAAGGAAACAGACTGTGCACCCAGGAGTCTTGGGGCTCTGGGAGAGCATGGTTATAGTTGCAGCTGGGAGTCACCTGTGACCAGGGCAGGAGATCACAAAAGTCTGGAATCCATAGTCAAATCAGGGTGTGTCTGACTCTTAAGCCAATGTCTGTCACATTGTAACTTGATTGTGGCAGTGGGAGAGCACACACTGAGTCTGAGAATTTGCGTCTCCACTCCCCTTAGGAAAAGGCTTTAAACAATTCTCTGAGATCTTTTAGCATGTGGTGACCCCAGTGTTACATGTGGAGCCTTCTAAGAGGCTCCTAGATAAAATGCATTTGTGTGGGATCGTCCCCAAGGGCTGGCATGGGGGGCTGAGGAGCAAGTTCTTTTCCTGTTTCCTGCAGGGGTGTGGACACAGTAGGTGCTCATCTAGTGCTGGTGGAGAGACGGGAGGAGGGCGCCGGTGGATGAGGCGAACAGATGCCTGAGGCTGGAGGCTCAGGCAGTGGGTGCGGAGGGTGGACACCTGGTAAAATGGCTTGCTGTCCTCCCCGCTCGCGACTGTCCCCCCCCTTGCTTTCAGCTTCGGGCAGCGGAGGTGGAGATCAAAGACCTGCAGTCGGAGTTTGAGCTGGAGAAGATCGATTACCTGGCCACCATCCGCCGGCAGGAGCGGGACTCCATGCTTCTGCAGCAGCTCCTGGAGCAGGTGCAGCCTCTCATCCGCCGCGACTGTAACTACAGCAACCTGGAAAAGATCAGGCGCGAGGCCTGTTGGGATGAGGACAATGGCTTCTGGAAGCTCCCTGAGCCCATCATGGTGAAAACCAGCCTCCCAGTAGGTCAGGCGCTTGGCTGTCCCCTCGATCCTCCCCGCAGTTTGCCCTCCTGCTGGCTGTGGGTGCAGCGGGCCCGAGGCCCGGGCTCCAAAGCGGTGGGGGCCTGAGACAGAAGTCATGTGGGTTGGAATTTCGGCTCCACCACTCCCTGTGTCACCCCTTTGGGACTCAGTGTCCTCATCTGTGAAATGGGGTTTAGTAACTGCACCTTCCGTAGAGATTGCTGGGTGGCTTGACCCGTGTTAATGCCCGTAAAACCCTCTCAGCGCCATGCCTGGCACGTGCCGAGTGTGTGGTACATTTTATCACCATGACCATCATGACCATCCCCCCAAACCCTGTGGAGGACAAGGATTTTACATTTCAGGAGACAGAAGCTCAGAGTGAATTACTTAGCCGGAGTCCCAGGCAGAGCAGGGAGTTGCAGGACTGGGGATAGGACCGGGCCGTTCAGAGTTTCAGGCCTGGTTCGCCTTTTGCTTTTGCCACTGACTTCCTGTGTGACGTTATGAAGGTCACTTTTGTCTCTGGGCCTTGGTCACACAGGAGGGGCTGCTGAAGGTGGTCGGGAAGGCCCCTCCACCTCCGCCGCATCTCAGTAAGGTCAGACTCTCAGTGCTCTTTCTCCGGCCTCAGAGCTGGGAGCACTCAGTCTTGTGTCCCCTCCCCCCGGTCAGAGAATGTTCTTTCAGGTCCTGCATCCTTGATGCTTACGGATGGCACTGACACTACCCCCGCCCGAGGGCCGGCCAGCTCCATTGCCCAGGGTTCCCCTGCCCCCACCGGCCTGCTGCGTTTTCTAGAAGCAGGGGAATGGCTGCTTTGACATCTGAGCCCTCCTGTTGTCTGTTTTCCAAAGTCCTCCCATGGCTCAGGGCTGGGAAGCGTAACCCCCCCGGCCCCAGGCCTGAGCCAGGCCTGACCTGCCAGCGTGGGCATGTGCTGCCGCCCACCCTGTCCAGACCAGGCAGCAGTGACTTCAGCTTTCATTTCTCATAGCAGTTCCAACAGGGCCACAGAACAAGGCCGTCCGCAAAACCTCTGCCGCAGACAATGGTGAAGCAGGCATGGTAAGGCCGTGGGGGCGGTGGCGGGCAAGGGGTGGGGAGCGGGCAGGGCTTCGTCCCCATCCTGCACTGGGTCACTGTTACCATAGGGCACTGGGCTGTTGCTTTCCTCCCTCGGTCCTTGGATCTAATGTCAGCACTGGATTGTAGAACTTGTGGCTGATCTTGACCTTGTGTCCAAGTTAACTGTTCCCTTGGTATATAGATATCCTATATCTTAAATTTAAACCCTTAGTACATGTGGCTTGGTCACTTCATGGCTGAGATGGAGAACCTGCTTATGGAAGAGAAATCTATTGTTTGAGAATCGGCGAGACCATGAATTCCTTTTTTCTTTAAAAAAATTTTTAATGTTTATTTTTAAGAGAGAGAGAGAAAGCAGGGGAGGGTCAGAGAGAGATGGAGACACAGAATCGGAAGCAGGCTCCAGGTTCTGAGCTGTCAGCACAGAGCCCGACGCGGGGCTCAAACCCATGAACCGTGAGATCATGACCTGAGCTGAAGTCAGACGCTTAACCGACCGAGCCACCCGGGCGCCCCTAGACCATGAGGTTCTTGATCCGGGCAGGGTGTTAATGTGTGAGAGCTCCCTATTCCAGGATTTCTCTAGAGGCTTGTGGGAGTCCTGGACCAGCAGTCATTTCTGTCTTGCTGGTCTGACAGGGTCGGGACGGTCCGAGCCCTAGTACCCGCTTTTCTTTCTTTACCCGTTGTTTTCCTGGCAGAGCACCAGGGGGTGTTAATTGCTTCGAGCTGGAAAATGGTTTGCACTCGCAGCTGTAAATGTATTCACTCTTTTAATTTATGTAAGATTTTTGTACACAATTCTCAATTCTTCAAGAGATGACAACAAATTTTGGTTTTCTACTGTCACGTGCTTGCATTGGGCCCCAGCAACGTCACAGTGTGAGGAACAAGCGCTGCAGTGTTTTAAAAAAAAAAAAAAAAAAGGACCTAAGCAGGAGGCTGAGCCTGGATCCTTTGTATGTAACTCTGTGGGCCCCCAGACCCTGCACTGCCCTCATTCAAAGGCACTTATGGCCCCAAGAGACCGGAAGGAAAGTAGGTGGTTCAAGGCAGCCCGTCCTGCTGGTGAAGGACAGAACCTTTGTCTTCAGTCCCGGAGGCCAGGCAGTACATTCCGGTTCCCTGGACCCTCGCTGGTGTCCTGGGATCAAAGGGCCCCCAGGGATCCATGAAACACTACTTGGGATTCTAAAGTCACTCTATTCTCATATCGCCCATGTTGTGTATGACCACAGAAATATACGTCCTCAAAGCAGAGGTCAGAAAACCTTCCGGTAAAGCACCACACTTTCCTGTGTGTTTCTCCACCTCTCGGTTCTGCTTCCCTTGGAATGCTGGCTTCAGACGCAGGCAGGCTTTCGCTGCGTGGCCGGCAAGATGGCTGCTGGCAATTGGCGCTCCAAGGGGAAGAGACCCAGTCTCCTACCCCCTCTTCACCAACACTTGTGGGAAGATTCTGATCAGCTCTGCTTGGGTGAGGGGTCTGCTCTTGGACCAGTGACTATGTCCAGAAGATATAAATATATTTTTAATGTTTATTTTTTGAGAGAGAGAATGCTCGCACACAAGTAGGGGAGGAGGAGAGAGAGGAGGCAGAGAATCCCAAGCAGGCTTCACGCTGTCAGCACAGAGCCCGACACGGGGCTTGAACCCACGAACTGTGAGATCATGACCTGAGCTGAAGCCGTATTCTCAACCGACTGAGCCACCCAGGTGCTCCTGGGAGATGTAGTTTTTTGGTTTTTTTTTAAGTTTATTTATTTTGAACTGCAGCGCTTGTTCCTCACACTGTGACGTTGCTAGGGCCTAATGCACTCACGTGACAGTAGAAAACCAAAATGAGCAAGCAAGTAACTGGAGGAGGGGCAGAGAGAGGGAGAGAGAGAATCCCAAGCAGGCTCTGCACTGTCAGCATAGAGCCCGACGCAGGGCTTGAACCCATGACCCATGAGACCATGGCCCGAGCCGAAATCAAGAATTGGACGCTTAACCGACTGAGCCCCCCAGGTGCCCCTGGAAGATGTAGTTCTATGACTGGTTCAGTCTGGGTCACATGCCCAGTTGTGCAGTGAGGGGGTGGACGAGAGGGCGCGGTGGTGTGAGGACACTCTGAATGATCGCCGGAGCAGGGCCATGCCAAGGAGGAGAAGGGTAGCCCCTGAAGGAAGAGATTCAGGCTGAGGAAAATAAGCCCATTATAGCGGTGAAAAATCAGTCCTTGGTGATACAAGGTTGGACCAAGGGTACTGTATTACCTATTCTGTGAATGTGCCGTGGTGGGTTTGGGCTATGGTACTGCCCTTGCCCCTGACGGAGAACAAGGCACCTCCCATGCCAAGAAGCTCCCATGGATCTGTGGCTGGAGCTGTGACTCTCCTGCCCTGAGCTGCCCGGACCCCACCCCAGCACCCCAGGTGAGGCTCAGGGCAGCCCCCAGCCCCCTACGCTTGTGGAGCTAAGAACTGTACAAACAAGGGGTCTTGACCCACGAGGATCTGGAATCTCAGCAGGAGGAAGACCGATACAAGCTGATGCTGAGTCGCAGTGACAGTGAAAACATCGCCAGTAATTACTTCCGGTCCAAGCGGGCCAGCCAGATCCTCAGCACGGATCTCATGAAGAGCCTCAGTGAGTGCCCCGCCCGCCCGCTGTCCTCCAGCCGCTCCCCGGGGGAGCCCCTCCTGGTCCTCTGCCCACTGGGAGGGGCATGTTGGGTGGACTGGAGCCAGGCCTGGGTTGAAAACCCTTTCCCTTCTCTGAGCCTCAGTTTCCTCAGCTGTACACTGAGGAGGCTATACCTACTTCTCGGGGTTAGATGAGATGATGTGGGGAAGCGACCCGTCCAGGGCCTGGCACGTAGCACGTGTGTGTATATGTAGTATACGTGCCCTGGCCCGTGTCGCACGGGTCCGGCTCAGCCGCTCACTGGCTTCTGCAGGTGCCGGTATGGTGGCTTTCTCCCACTGAGCCAAAGGGGGCAGACAGGGCCACAGAGGTGAAACATTTTTAAAGGCAAGAATTGCAGATCACTTTGTTCTTTCATTCCGGGAACCAAAATCAAAGACCACAGAGTGTCTAATAAGGTATCAATGAAAAGCAAATCTCAGTCCTACCTTGAGGCTACTGAAGAGGTGGAGTCTGGTAGAGTTGAGGAACAGGAGGGGAAAATGGCACAGGAAACAAATGAACATCACATGGGGACCCGGTGTTGTGTCCGTGTCGCAGATGAGGAAACTGAGGCTCCGAGAGAAGTCGCTCCCCAAGGTTGGGCTCTGAACACAGGCTTGTCTGGTTCGAGATCCCAGGCTGCCTCAGTCGGAGCCTTTCACACTCCACACTCCTGGCCCAGAGCCTTGCGGGGTGGGGGGGGGGCCAGCCAGGGACCAGGCCTCCGGCTGGGTGGGGCGGGTGGGGCTCCCCTCCCTGTGTCCCTGGCTTACCTGCTCCCCTGCTCCCTTCTCCACAGCCCATCGCAGCTCGCCTCCTGGCCGCAGCTCCCCACTCAGCAACACGTCGGCCATCGTGCCCACGCAGGCGCCCGAAATGCCCCAGCCCCGGCCCTTCCGCCTTGAGTCCCTCGACATCCCCTTCACCAAGGCCAAGCGTAAGAAAAGCAAAAGCAGCTTTGGCAGTGAGCCTCTGTGAACTTGGCCTCCTGCCGCTGCCCTGCCTTTGAGCTTTCGTGAGACTGCCAGGGCAGCCCCAGCCAGGCCTCCTCCCGCCTGCCCCCACCATGTCCAGGAGCCCATGGGGACCCTTGCCCTGGGAAGAGCTTTCCCTTCCCTGTTACCCAGAGAGCCGCCTCTGCCCCGACTGTCAGCACTTGGGAAGCTGCCCCCCCCACCCCCCCGCAGAGGTGCTCTCCGGGCTGTCCGCGCCTTGCCAGTGTTCTGCCTGCTCACTGCCACAGCCCGCCAGTTCCTCTGTGCCTCGATGGGCTCCGAAACCTCAAGACTTTCACCAGCAGCCCCGACAGAAGTGGGGGGCAACCTCCGCATGGATCAAGGACAGTATCTTGGCGATGGATGATTGTGCCTCCACCAGGCCCCCTCCCCTTGCCTTCCTGGGGAAGCCGGGCAGCGTGGGCACAGGAGTCGTGGAGCAGCTGTGCCCCTCTGTCCCCTCCCAGCCAGTCTGTGGCCTAGAGGAGGCTGCCTCACATGAAGCTGCCCCAATAAACTACCTTTTACCCATGAGCTCCCCTTCCCTCGACCCTCTGACAGTGTCACTGGGGCCCCTCCAGCCTGGCCTTCACAGGAAAGCTCTTTCTGGAGCAGGGTTTCTTTGTTCTTTTTTTTTTTTTCTTAAATTCTTTTTAAAGTATTTCTTTATTTTTGAGAGAGAGAGAGAGAGAGTGAGCAAGGGAGAGGCAGAGAGAGAGAGAGGGAGAAAGAAAATCCCAAGCAGGCTCCACACTGTCAGTACAGAGCCCGACGCGGAGCTCAGACTCATGAACTGTGAGATCATGACCCGAGAAATCAGAGAGTTGGACGCTAAACCGCAGGGGCCCCTGGAGCAGGGTTTCTTAACTACCCGATGCCTTTAAAACAAATGGGCTTCAGGGATTCTGCAGCTCCCCGCACTCAGGAGGACAAGCACATTTTTCTGGGGAGAGCATCTGAACTGCCATTAGGTTTTCAGAGGATCCGTGACTCGGGAAAGCAGAGCTCTTGTTTTGGGAAATAGAGGTGGTGTCTTGCGGTAGCCCAGAAAAAGGCCAGGTTTTGATAGTTCTCAGGGGCTGTGCTGGAACTGGATGCTCTGACGTGGCCAGAAATGAACCCAGGTGACCCCAGTGACGGAGGATACACCCTTCCCTTTGCTCACTGTATCCCAGGCCTGCCCTGTGGGAGGGCCCCACAATCTCAGGGAAGGGTCTTGGCTTTGGGTTGAGGATGGGCCTCATTGCACTCTGGGCCCCATCTGTGAGAAGGGGAAACACCTGCCTCCCAGGGGAATCGTGAAAGTTAAATGAGAGCGTATGTGATGGTCCTGGTACATAGCAGGTGCTCTGCATTAGTCCCCCTCATTGGTTATCCTGTGTATTTTGCATTAGTTACTGTGATGGGTCCCACAAGCCATATCCCTGGGCGAGGGAGCTCATGCCCTGGTGCTCTGGTAACTGGAGATGAGGCTAACCAGAGGCAGGCTGCAGTACACACACTCAGAGGAAGAAAGATCAGGTCTTTAGGGGGAACGAAGTGTCCTTGTGAAGGGTGGGGCTACCATAAAGGACACAGAGTATCCTGGGAGGCTTAAGATGGGAATGGCCGGGGTGGGGGTGGGGTCTCCTGGTAGAGCTGTATGAGCAAAAGCCAATGGGGAAGCTGAGTGTGTTAAAGGCTGGAGATTTGCTGCATGGAAGCCCTGAGCAGAGCCAGAGAAGAGGAGGTTTCGGTGGAGACCTGAGAGTGAGGAGCCTCAGGTGGCCCGAGCTGCGGCAGATTCCTAAGCTACCGACAGGCACCATCAGGTCCGAGAGTTCAAGGTGAACTGACATAGCATTGATGAGGAAGGGCAGGAGGGCTGGGCTGGGGACCCAGGGTGGAGGTGAGGCTTAACTGTCAGAAGAGCCAGCAGAGATGGAGAGGAGGTAGACTGAGTTACGGGGAGGGAGGGGAGGTTTTGACTTTGGCCCCCACAGTCTTGGTTTGGTGCCCATTTGCCCCAGGATTGTGGCTGGGACCCAGAGAGCAGTTAAAGCCTTGGAGCTACTTTTACTTAGACCCGTGGTGGGGCTGAGGTGAGCCAGGTGGCCTCCATTAATTTAGAAGCCAGCATTACTTGTGGGGGTGCTGAGCCTCACTCTGCACGAAGGGCTTCAAAGCCTGCCCCTGAGCTCTCAAGAGCTCAGGCTTTTCCAGAGCCACGCAGGTAAGTGGGGGGTCTGAGCCTCGCTATGATTTCTATTTCCAGCCTAGGAAAGTGGCCTGGAGAGAAGTGAAATGCCGCAGCAGCAGGGGTAGTGAGAGGCGGAGCTGAGAAATGAACCCAGCTACAGCGTTTTCACCAGCACGCCAGCTGGCCGCCTATCCAGCTGCCTCCAGTGTGGGCCACCAGGCCTGGCAGGTCAGGCCCGGCCCCTGGGCCCGTTAGTGGCAGGAGATTCAAAGTGCCCTATCCGTGATCTTAATTTTCCAATCCCCTCCTCCCCGGAGTCGGCGGTGGAGCCTCCTTTCTAGTACCGAGTCCGGGAGGGACTAGCTGGCCCGATGAGGAGGCGGGATCTGGGCTCCCGGCGGGTGTCCGAACTGGGCAGAGCCCAAGGTCGTGCGGCCTTGTTGATTGGGTGCGGCCGCAGAGCTGTCTTTCTAGGATTGGGCGTTTTCCTTTGGGAGGCGGGACCTCACGCCTCTTCCACCAATAGGATTCAGCGATTCCGCCTCCAACCGGGGCACTTCCGGCGGTGCTCCCGGCTCTTCTCCCGCGCAGCAGCGCCTCTGGATCCCCGGTCACAGTATACCCGGATCGCTTCCGGGTGTTACACCAAGTCCGCGAGCTGCGATTGGGCAGCGTAGACGGGGCACTTCCGGTGCCCGGGTGCTTGGGTTCTCCGCAGGCGGATGAAAATGGAGCCCGGCGCCGCCGCCCGCGATTGCTCTCTCCTGTGGCTGCTGCTGCCCTTGCTGGGCTCGGTCTGCGCTAGCGGTCCTCGCACCTTGGTGCTGCTGGACAACCTCAACCTGCGGGAGACGCACTCGCTTTTCTTCCGAAGCCTGAAGGGTGAGACCGGGGCCCGAGGGGGCGGTGGGGGACAGTTGGCTTGGAAAGGCTCCCGAGCCCGAGGGCAGCGACCACCCTCCCTCCCCCTTGCTTTTCCACGAGGGGGACTGCGAGCTCTGGCCTGTCGCTTGCGGGGGCGGGCGTCACCCTTGCAGCGGTGGTTTCCCTTGGCGTGCCGTCTGCCTCAGCTCCCTGTTTTCTTCTCGCCCAGACAGAGCCTTTGAACTCACGTTCAAGACCGCAGATGACCCCAGCCTGTCCCTCATTAAGTACGGGGAGTTCCTCTATGACAATCTCATCATCTTCTCCCCTTCGGTGGAAGGTAAGTGCTGCGCGTCGCTCCCAGAACTGGGCTTCAAGGCCCAGGGCTGATCGCTTTCTTCTGGATCTTGTGCATTTTCTGGGTCATGGCATGGGTCACCAGCCACGGGCATTACTGCTGCCGGGGAAGAGGAGAATGCTCACTTCTAACCTGGGCCCGGGAAGGAGCGTCCTTTCTTACAGACACAGCTGAGGGTTGTGGGGTCAGGTGTTGCACAGACCATGGAACCGCAGGCCTTGCTGCTTGAGAAGGGGGTTTCCCTATAAAGGGCCTGGTAGAAAGTTGGAGAACCGACCCCCTGCTCCCCACCGTGGGCTTGTGTGGATAGGGGAAATGGCATGCTCTTAATACAGTTTGCCTCCAGAGGCCTCCTGATGGTTGATCCTGTGAACTCAGATGGATTCCCAGTTTCACAGCTGAAAAAGAACATTAGCGATCATCTAGCCCAGCCCCCTACATGAGGCTGACTGGGCACTTCCGGGGACTAGTGGAGGGCTGGTCATGCACAGAATGGTGTCTTCCCCGCGTCATCCGGCTGGTACTTCAGTATTCCTGTGACAGCTTCCAGGTTGTGCTCAGGTGGACGGGGAGGTCCTGCAGAAGGAAGGAAGCTATGGGCAGGCAGCCCCGGGGCGAGGGGGGGGAGGGGTTGAGCTAGGCTCTCTTGTTGGGAAGGTCAGAGAGCCTAAACCGTGTTTCTCCAATCTTAGTCATTTTTGTACCTCCTTCCTGATTTCGCCATATTCCATATCACCCCGTTAATAATGACTTAATACTTTCTTTAAATTGACCCCTTTTTTTAAAAAAGCATAACATCATTTAAAAAGGAAGCCACTAAAGTTGGAAAGCCAGGATCCTCACGTCTCAGTAGAAGGAATTGTCGATAGAACAAGGAGCTGTAAGCTCTCAGCAGCCTCTGTTGCATGATCCAGGCATTGAGCCTGTGGGTTCCACGTAAAGGAAATTTGCAAATGTTAGAGAAGTGTTAAGATCAGTATCAAACAAAGATACTCTCTCTGGTGGAACAAGCTTGAAAAATCATTGGAAAGGGAAGAAGTCTCTCTGAGCTTCAGTGTTGTTTAAAGCCCTGCCTCACCCCACTGTCCCACCCTCTCTGTCCCTAGCGGAATAAGCCTCATAGGCGTGTGTGTGCTGGTGGGGGCGGGCGTTCAGGGTAAGAGTTTGGCCCTGGCTCCAAGGGCCCTTCTGTGGTACTGTGACCCCTGGTAGCCCTCTCAGGTGTGAGAATCCTGCTTCCTTCTCCATGGATCCTTGGGTTCCTCGTGGGCTCTGGGATTAGGAAGCTCTCAAGTCACGTGCAGTGATGGTCACAGAAGAATGATCCTGAAAAACCAGGGTCCTGTTTCCTGTTGTACAGATGAGCACATGGGCTCCGGAAGGCGGAAGGGTTGCCTAGATTCCAGCCTAGGTGGCTCTGTCTTGCAGCCAGTCTTGAAACCTTCTAGGGTGTTCTCTCCTCCCTAGAAGGAGTCCTCAACAGTGGCACTTCTTGACATGTTGGACTGGATAATTCTCTGTGGTAGGGACTGCCTTGGGCACTGGAGGATGCTTACCAGCACTCTGCCTCTACCCACCGGATGCCAGGAGCCACCTCCCCACATTGTAAAAACCAGAAACATCTCCAGACATTGCCCTTCGGGGCAAAATTGCCCCTGGTTGGGAACCACTGTCCACTGTATTCTAGCAGGAGCTAGAATTGTCTAAGCCTCTGCCTGGCCTCTCTGCAGGAGGGTGGGTAGATGGCTTTCTGGATGTAGTAACGTCCCCAGATACAAGGTGTCCTGTCCATGCCTCAAGGTAAGGGAAGTTGCTTTTTTGTCTTTTTCTGAAAACTAACCCTCAGAAAAGAGGGCCATTCTCACAGTTACATCTTTACAAAGTCCTGTTATGGACTCATTTCCGACTCCCTGATGGATGTGTAATGGACAGACTTCTGTATCCAGTCTCTGCACACGGCACTTCCCTCCTTCCAGTTGCTCGGGCCAGCAATCTTGGGGTTGTCCTTAGCACCCCTCTCTCTCACACCCCATGGCTTGTCAGTCATCGGCCCTGCTGACTTTGCCTTCAGAATAGGACTGAAAGCCCACCTGGTCTCTCTCCCTCCCCCCTCCCCCCTCTCTTCCCCCCTCCCCCCTCTCCCCCTCTCTCCCCCCTCTCTTCCTCCCCTCCTCCTCTCCCCCCTCTCTCCCCCTCTCTCCCCCCTCTCTCCCCTCTCTCTTCCTCCCCCCTCTCTTCCTCCCTCTCTTCCTCCCCCCTCTCTTCCCCCCTCTCTTCCCCCCCTCTCTTCTCCCCCTCTCTCTTCTCCCCCTCTCTCTTCCCCCCCTCTCTTCCCCCCTTCTCTCTTCCCTCCATTCTTCACTGCCTAGATTACCACAGTGGCCTTCTAACCCACTGCTCTGCTTCCACCCTAGTCCTCTGGACCCGATTCTCCCCCCAGCTCCCAAATTATCCTTTAAAACTGTAAATCAGGGCATGGGGGTGTCCTGCTCAAAAGCCTCCAGCGGCCCCTCTTTATGGCCAACCTCACAGGGCCTGTAAAGCCTTGTGAGCTGCCCTTTCTGCTTCAACATGGCCGCATTTGCTTTTGCTCTCCCCGCCTTGCTCCAGCTCAGCCACACTGGGCTCCTTGCTGGGACAGGCTCACCTGCCTGGGGACCTCTCCCCTGTCATCCTTGATGCCCCCTGTGCTGCCCAGCTCACTCTCACACCTCAAGTGCTTGTTGCCCAGGTCTTCCCTGACCAACCTTTACGTAACAGCGTCCCCCCTCCCGCCCTTTCCCCCTTTTTGTCTTCTCTGCACACAAGAACTAATGTTCACTTAATGACCACGTGAATTCCTGAGCACTCCCTCCATTACTTTATGTTCGACCTCAGGTGTACTTTGGGAAGGATTCTTGGTCTGGTTCTGGATGCTTGTGATAACCAGATAGATTGATGGCAGAAGAATACCATCTCATAAGTACCAATGTTGGAAGTTAATGAGCCTTTTTGGTGGTCACTTTTTTTTTTTAATTTTTAAATGTTTATTATTATTTTTTAATATTTATTTCTAGGAGAGAGAGAGAGAGGAGAGACAGCGTGAGCAGGGGAGGGTCAGAGAGAGAGGGAGTCACAGACTCTGAAACAGGCTCCAGGCTCCGAGCTGGCAGTCAGCACAGAGCCCGACGCGGGGCTCGAACCCACGAACCGCGAGATCATGACCCAAGCGAAAGTCGGATGCTCAACCGACTGAGCCACCCAGGCGCCCCTGTTTTATTTATTTTTGAGAGAGAGATAGAGACAGCGTGAGTAGGAGAGAGAGGGAGTCACAGAATTCGAAGACAGGCTTCAGGCGCTGAGCTAGCTGTCAGCAGAGCCTGATGTGGGGCTCAAACCCATGAACTGTGAGATCATGACCTGAGCCGAAGTCGGACGCTTAACTGACTGAGCCACCCAGGCGCCCCGGTGGTCACTTTAATAAAAGTAGTTTACAGATTGGTCCTGTTACGGTTCTTGGATCTAAATCTGTAGGATTAATAAGGGAAAAAACTGCATCTTGGCAAATGAGTACCAGTAGTGTCAAGTGGCCACGTCTTCCTCAGACTCTGGAGCACTCTATTTTTTAATTTTTTTTAATTTTAATTTTTTATTTTAACGTTTATTTATTTTTGAGACCGAGACAGAGCACAAGCTGGGGAGGGGCAGAGAGAGAGGGAGACACAGAATCTGAAACAGGCTCCAGGCTCTGAGCTGTCAGCACAGAGCCCGATGTGGGGCTTGAACCCACGGACCGCGAGATCATGACCTGAGCCGAAGTTGGACCCTCAACTGACTGAGCCACCCAGGTGCCCCTGTCTCAGACAGTTTAGGTGGATGTGAAATTGATGGGCTCTGGAAAACTGTGTTAGTGCCGAGTGACTCTCGTGAAGACAGAGATACTCACATGAAAGGCGCAGGTGAGCAGTTTGAATGAAGTTGTATCATGAACTGTCAGTGGGAAAATGCAGCATTTCTGACATGTGTTTTGTATGTGACTTGAGATGTATGTGAGTAACCTGACATCTGTCATTGGTAGGTGTTGGGCTGTGTCCTCCATACTTCCGTAAGTTAAAGTTTATGAATTTGTCATTACTGTTGGATCTTCGCTTTGGGAAAACGGGGGCATCTATGGTAGACGTGTCTCTCGTTCTGGGCCTCCAGGGGGCTACTGGGGAATGGATGGTGGCTAGTCTGTGGCCCACTGTCCCACCCAAATGTCAGAGGATCCGTCTGGGTCGCTGAGTCTGGTGCTTCTTTCAGATTTTGGAGGCAACATCAACGTGGAGACCATCAGTACCTTTATTGACGGCGGCGGCAGTGTCCTGGTAGCTGCCAGCTCAGACATCGGTGAGTGTCGCCTGGGGAGGTCTGTCTCCAGGAAGCTTGGCAAACTCTACAAATGGAAGCTGCCAGATTGGCATTCACCGGGTGGGCCATGGTTGGGGGGTGAGGGAACTAGAGCCATTCAGCGCCTCCTGTGCTTCCCTGTCACCAGCACTGGGGAGACGGGGGGGCCTTTTAAGGGCTGGGAGCCCTGGTTTTTCCCAGTTTGGTTTTCCCTTTGGGTGTGTGTTGGCGGGCCTTCCCTTACAGAAAGAAGACACACTGGGGCTGGCTACTTGGGCAGACCCCAGAGCGATTCGACAGATTATTTTTGTTTTGTTCCCTATTTTGGAAATGTTCAACGCTACCGGGAAGTAGGGAGAGAGCAGTGTGGGGCCTGCACGTGTGTCACGCGGCTCCGACCGGCAGCGACACCTGGCCAGTGTTGACAGACTGGGGTGAGGCGGAGGAGAGCAGCCCTCTGAGGCCAGGCTCTTTCAGGTCCAGTCTGCCTCAGGTTAAGACTTTGCCTCAGTGATGGTTTTTGTGCATTTGTGGGCACAGGGTTCTCTGTTAGCGATTCAGGTTCTGCCCTGCAGCCAGAAACCCGTGCTGGTGTCCGGCAGTCCCGCTGGGGCTGCGCACAGCCTGGGGAAGGGGAAGGGCCCTGGGGGTGCTGGCAGAGGGTGGGTCACCAGGAGGCCAGGGGAGCGGCGCTGCTGGGCCCAGGGCCCACCTTAAGGGCTGAGCCAGGCATTTCTCGGGTCTGTGCAGGTGACCCTCTTCGAGAGCTGGGCAGTGAGTGTGGGATCGAGTTCGATGAGGAGAAAACAGCTGTCATTGACCATCACAACTACGACATCTCAGACCTTGGCCAGGTAATCAGGCTCGTTACTTTCCAGGTTTGGGGCCCTTCCACCAAGGCACAGCCTGGAAACTGAGAGGGGCTGGGGGTCGGGGTCCCCCTGGCATGGAGGTGCCTTTTCCTGACCCCCGTCTCCCTTCTGCTGCAGCATACGCTCATCGTGGCTGACCCCGAGAACCTGCTGAAGGCCCCAACCATTGTCGGGAGATCATCTCTGAACCCCATCCTCTTTCGAGGTGTTGGGTGAGGGAGCAGGCACAGGGTGCTAGAAACCTGGGGAGGGCGTGAAACTAACCCACCCTTCACGATTGGGGGCGGGGGGCATTCCCTCCCCAGAGGATGGGGTGAGATTAATTTAGGACACTCAGAGTCAAACTTCATTGTTGCAGTGAGAGGAGAGCTGGTGGTGTGGCAGGCGTGCGGCTGTTGAGAAAGCCCGACTCGTCTCAGTGAAGAAGTGGCCCTTCAGGACCCCAGGTCCTTGAGCTCAGTTCTCAGGGCCCGTGTTGGGTGTTCTCTCTCCTTTCTGCAGGATGGTGGCCGATCCCGACAATCCTTTGGTGTTGGACATCCTGACGGGCTCCTCCACATCTTACTCCTTCTTCCCGGATAAACCTATCACCCAGGTGGGGGGCCTTCACAGCCTTTAGGCCTCCAGGTCCTGGGCCCGGGGGCAGAGGAAGGGGGGTGGCACACGTTGTGGAGGCTGGTGAAGGGGAGGTTGCGGGGAGCAGGAAGGGGCGGAGGCAGTGGGGCCTGACGTCCAGCCTGCTGTCCCCTTGCCCGTCCTTCCCCCGGGCTCTCCGGGCTAACGGCCGTCTGTCGTTCCCAGTACCCGCACGCGGTGGGGAAGAACACGCTGCTCATTGCGGGGCTCCAGGCCAGGAACAACGCCCGGGTCGTCTTCAGCGGCTCCCTGGACTTCTTCAGCGATGCCTTCTTCAACTCGGCGGTGCAGAAGGCCGCGCCCGGCTCCCAGAGGTGAGCGCTGGCGGCTCGGGCGGGTGGGCTGGGGCTGGGAAGGGAGGAGCCTTCCAGCTGGAGGTGAAGTGTCGGAGGCTGGGCGTCGTTAGGTTGAAGACTTAGCTGCCGTGTTGTTGGCATCCAGACTTTTCAAGGTAGGGACGGCTTGTCTGGAGATGTTTCGGTGATTGCAGTTGTGCGGGTGGCGCCCGAAGCACCACCACCTGGCCTCTCTTCCTGTCCCCTTTAAGCACAATACCTAGATATGTGTGGTCTCCAGGCAGAAACTAGCTTCAGGCGGTTCATCTCCGTGGAGCGTGACGGTCGGGCACCGCTGCGACGAAGCTGGCTCAGGTCCCCTGGCCTCCTGTCTGCCCCTCCCGCAGGTATTCCCAGACGGGCAACTACGAGCTAGCCGTGGCCCTCTCCCGCTGGGTGTTCAAGGAGGAGGGTGTCCTCCGTGTGGGGCCCGTGTCCCACCATCGGGTGGGTGAGACCGCCCCACCCAACGCCTACACCGTCACTGACCTAGTGGTAAGAGCGCCTTGGAGCAGGAGGGGGCCCTGGGGTTCGGGCCAGGTTGCTTTAGCTCAGAAGCATTTGTTGGATATTTAGTGGCCTAAATAAGGATGGACGAATTAATCTCCTAAGAGAGCGTAGGTGCAGAGAGCTTGGTGCACAAGCCCGTGTCTAAAGAGACCTTCCGACGAGGTGGGGGTGTTGCCGTGGAGGCTCAGGAGCGGGAGGACTTCCCCGGTGCGTTCTGCTGGGGGCAGAGGGGGGGTCCCTAGCAGTGCCCGGCCTGCTCGTGAGTGGAGCGGTCTGGGTGCAGACGTCGGTGGTCCAGGGACGAGGTGCAGAGGGGCGTTAGCAGGCTGGGTAGGGGGCTTCTGCCAGGGTCACAAGGGATCCGGTGCTGCTCTGAGTCGGGGGGGGGGGGGGGGGGGGGGGGGGGGGGAGCGAACGCCCCCGGCTGACCAGCCTGTTGTCTCAGGAGTACAGCATCGTCATTGAGCAGCTCTCCAATGGCAGATGGGTCCCTTTTGATGGTGATGACATCCAGCTGGAGTTTGTCCGCATCGATCCTTTCGTGAGGACCTTCTTGAAGAAGAAAGGCAAGTACAGTCTCGCGAGGGACAGCAGCAGGGCCACCGTCCGCAGTGCTTGCTCTTGCGAGGCTAACGGAGAAACCGCTCCTGGGGGCCTCGGCTCCCCCCGCAGGTGGCAAATACAGCGTCCAGTTCAAGTTGCCTGACGTGTACGGAGTGTTCCAGTTTAAAGTGGATTACAACCGGCTGGGCTACACGCACTTACAGTCTTCCACTCAGGTGAGCCAAAGTCCCGGCCCCCCAGTCGGCCGGAGCAGGCCACTCGCCAGGGCTGCCGAGCCGCTGGACCTGCCCCTTCTGCTGTGTCGCAGGTGTCGGTGAGGCCGCTGCAGCACACGCAGTACGAGCGCTTCATCCCGTCTGCCTACCCGTACTACGCCAGCGCCTTCTCCATGATGCTCGGCCTCTTCCTCTTCAGCACCGTCTTCTTGCACATGAAGGAGAAGGAGAAGTCCGACTGAGCGCCGGGGCCCTGGGGCGCCTTGCAGCGTGCCGATGGGGGTGATGTAGGGTTGGGTCGTCTTTTTATGGTGGTGTGTGAGTTTCGTTCCGTGTTTTTGTTTTTTGAAGCCGTGGGACAATGGCAGAGCCTTACCTCAGTGGGAGATGCGGCACTGAGTACCGGGGGGGGGAGGGGGGGTGATTTTTACGTGTTTTTCCACCTGATGCTAAGTGGTATTTTTCATATGTGGTCACTCTCATTTCTAAGATAAAAAGAAACCTTGCCCTCCAACCTCATCTGGCTCTGGTGTGCTTTACTGGTGGGGGTGCTGGTCGGTAGCGGGACATAACACAGTAAGTGGCCTCCAAGTGTCGCCAACTGTATTTTCCTTAGGAGTGAAATCATGGGGCTGCCTCACTTCTCATGGGAGAAGGTGAGGTGAATAATACACTGAGGCCGGTGGGGAAACTGGGGTAACAGTGTTTGACTTGATAAAAATTATAGAATTGCTTCTTGCTTTAGGCAGATGCTGTATTGCCTAAGAAGCGTGTGTAAAGTCATGTGAAATTCCTTCCCCATTGCTGATCTCTACTCACGTAATTGTGTCTTTATTATGGTGTAAAGATCACTCTTAAAGCCACATATTCCATTCAAAGCAAATAACATCTTCATTTGTAAATGTGCATTTAATTCTTTCACGATTTCTAGAAGAAATGCTGGTCAAAAGGCAAGTCAGCAAGTAAAACACTACACGTTAACTTCCATTTTCTCACTGCTTCCAGCTCTGCTAGACTCGATTCAGTAGCTGGAGGAGCTCCGTGGAAGTGCTTCCGCAGAGACACTCCAGAGCTTTCCAGAATGCACCCTTAAGTAAGTGCAGAGGCCGCCTCCTTCTCAGGCCTCGCTGGATGTGGTTTCATTCTGACGCCCAAGTATACTGACCCCAGCAGGTGTCGGCCTTTGCTCAGGAAACACGCAGACTGAGGTCGTGGCTGCCACTTTCAAACAAGCCACAGTCCCTTCCTGGAGTCACGCTCTGCCACCAACAGCCATGGCCTTGCCTGGCCCCTCTTGCGGGGTGGGGGGGACACGTCTGGGCCTCAGCCTCGCCTCCAGACCTAACAGACCAGCTCAGCCACCGGCTTCACAGAGGTCTGTGAGGAAGGAAGGGCTTTTTGCCAGCAGCTAACTTACACTTCACTCTGTCTTCTCATTTGCTGCAAAGAACATGCTCCTTTGGATGTGTGCCCCGACCCTCTCACATTTTATTAGCATTTACACACAAGGGAATCAGCATGTCTTTTTTAGAGTTAGTTAGGCCTTTGGAATCTGGCTAGACCAGAGTTGGCAAACTCCGACTTGTGGGCCATTCTGGCCTGCAAGCTAAAAGTGGTTTTTGGGTTTTCAAATAGTTGGAAAAAATCAAAAGTATTTAGTGACCCATGGAATTCAAATGTCAGCGTACTTACATATCTGAGAGCGCATTTGCGCTACGCAACGGGCATAGCCGCGACAGTCGGTGTTTGCCAGCTCCTGTCCGGTCAACACTGCAGGCGGGGCCATCAGACCGCACAGCTTGCGTGAGGCACCTAAAATCGCACAGCTAGGGTGAATTAGTAGCTACGGACTAAACTTGGACGTGAGCTGTTCCTTCTATCTGCCAAACCAGGGGCCTTCTCCAGGGCCGACCGACCCTCTCGGCGCCGTCTTTCCTCCTGCCTCCCGCCCTCACCCCGGGGAGCCCTGCCCATTCACAGACCATCACCACACGGATGTTGCGAAGTTCTTTTAGTAATTGAGCGGCAGCAGGGCCCTCACGGGGCCGCTCTCCAGGAGTAGAGGAGCAGGGCTGCCTGGCACAGCGCCTCGTACTCCAGGTTGGCCAGAAATAACACCTTCATCTTTGTTTCCACGCAGCTCTTCTCTGTAAGCCTGTCGGCCAGTAGAGTGGCAGCTGACTGTTGGAGGAGCCAGCCGATCATCTTGTCTAGTTTCAGATTCTTCAGGGCTAGAGTGTGTTCACCCCAGAGGCTTAAATGAAGCACATTGGCAGCCACTCGGGCCGATGGTCTCTGCAACAGGCAGGAGGCTGAAGCTTAGAACATCGATGGCAAAGCATTTGGCCCAAACCCTGATCTGTTAATGGATCCTCATTTCAGGTCTTCCCTTCTCCGGCCCCAGCCAGATTCTTGTCCACCCCCCGTGTCTGTCCTTCCCACGACCCCCTTCACTCTCCTGACACGTGCCGGCTGCTCTCTCCCCGTGCGGCAGGCTTTACCGGGGGCACATGTGTGCCCCAGGCAGCGTGCGTTGTGGAGCGAGCCTCCCCACCAAGGAAGAGCCACGAACGGCCTGTGGATCACCTCTCCTCACTTAGTAACTGGTGCGGGGAGCACACGCGGGGGCCGGGAGCGCACGCTGTGCATGGGCGGGGAAACGGTAGGACCGTGGTTTGAACCCCGTCTGCCTCTGAGCGCATCCACTGGGCGTGCCGCCTGACCTGGACCTGGAACCACCCAGATCTACTCTTGGGAGGGGCCTCACATCCGTCTCATTAGATGTTGGCTGTTCTAGAAGCTATGGCTCATTTCTTCAAAATGCATCTTCCCTCTAAGTGACTTAAGCCACCGAAGGCAAGGTGCGTTGCCGCAACTGTAATTTGGCGGCCAGTGCCCCGACTCCTATTTCTACTAAGGTTTGTTTTCCTGTACAAACGTTGTTAAGACAGAGGAGCCGGCGGTGTCTCTAGTCTTGCCCAAACCTGGTCTTTACTTTGGAACGTGAACTTGCACACCATCCCTGTGAGACCCAGGGGCTGCCTCACCTTGCTGGCCTCTCGCTGGAGCAGCGACCTCACCAGCCGTCTTGCCTCTAGAGGCACCGACTTGGGCAGTGCGGGCAGCTGAGCCTCCTGGTAACTGCGGCTTTCCAGGTGGGCCCTGCCGTGGCCGTAGAAGGGATTGGAGAGCCCGAAGATTTCGTAGGCGAGCGCGCCCACTGCCCAGGCGTCAGCTTTGCTGTAGTCAATCACTGCTCTGGGGCCAGGGCGGGCTGTGGACACCTGTTTGGAGAGCAGTGCATGAGCTTCACACTGCTGGCACCCCACCACGTTCACGTTCCTACATGGCACCTGACTCCTGGGCTGACCTGAACTCTATCCCCAAGGAACCCAGAATTTGAGCTGCGGCTCAGACTCCCAAGAATCTGCTCAGGCTGCAGGGGACTTGTGCCAAATTAAGGGTCAGAAAAGATGGAGGTGTTGAGTAAATAATGAGGAAGTGGGTCTTGGCCTCTGGTGGAAACGCAGTGGAGAAGTCCGCTTGCTGATGGCATGAGACCTGCTCAGCTGTGACTCACCTCAGGGGCCATCAGGCAGCCGTTTCCGCCCCGATCCACATACCAGCTGGTGAATGGCAGCCGCAGGCCGATGCGCTCATCAGCCAGGCAGCAGCCAAAGTCTGTGATCACCAACCAGGGGCAGCCATCTGGGGAAGGGACAGGCAGAGGTAAGTGACTGACTGTCCCCTCTGAGCGGCCTTCCTATGATCCTTACCACAGCCACCATCAGCACGTGGGTGAGGGGGGCTTACAGCGACTCCATGTTGGTCCAGGAGCGCAGGCCGGCCTGGATGGGTGCCCTCTCCGCAGGGAGCTCAGCAGGGGAGGGGCAGCGGTGTGGGCACGGAAATGCCTCCAGGAAATCAAGGCCCCCAAGCAAAGAACTGGATAAAAGTTTGTCTCAATCTAATCAAGTAATGGGAGCTGTCCCAGGCCTGATGGAGATGCTCATGGTTGACTCAGCAGATGGTGCTGGGCTCAAATGAACTCTAAAAGCTATGACATCCCAAGAATCTTTGATCTGAACTTGAAACCCCAAATCCAAACCCAAGAAACAGGTCCTTTAGAGTGCAATTTAATTGCCTATTATTTTCAATCCAGTTGAAAACTTAGCAGACATACGACTCTCCTTTACAATAGCCCAGGCAAGGGGCCACCCAAGTCTCAAGTTCAGTGCCTCGGGGGTGGGGAACTCAAGAGCCCCAGGGCCAGCTGGGCTTACCTGTGGACAGCTGTCACTGTCTGAAAATGCTTTTTTCTGCTGAGCTACAGTCTACCGCTCTTACTTTAAGAGAACTTCTACCACCGAGGCTTCTGTTCTCAGATTATTAATCATCATTCCACAAGCCCTACAAAGAGAACAGAAGCCTCCATTTTGAAAGAGAGATTGCTCCCCTCTTGTGCATGGAGCTAAATTAAGACACAATGTGTAACAGAACATAAAAGTCAAAAAGGACCTAAAGGGTCCTTAAATGTCGGCAGACAGGAGTCGGGTGCGCCCCGGGTGGCTGTGAGGTAGGCCAGGGACCCACCTGCGTCCAGCTCCACGAGGATGTTGTCAGATTTCAAGTCTCTGTGCGCGACGCCCTGTTGAACCAGATGATCCACCCCCTCCAGGAGCTGCAGGACCATCACGGCGGCGAGGCGGGGGCTTGGGGTGTTGTCGCGAAGGTACTGGCGCAGGGTGCAGGGGTAGCTGGGGCACAGGGTGACAGGGCCACCGGCTGTCACACATCGTTAGTCCCCAGCATCTTATTTACTGTTATGATGATGGTCCTTCCTCTTCGTGGAGTATCTTAATCTTTTTCCCCCAAGTATCCTTTCTGCTGCCACCCACCACCCTGAAGTTAGGAAGTGAGAGCTGGGGGCCCACGTGATGAAAGTAAGGGAACAGACACTCTTCCTTAAAATGCCTATTACAGTAGTGCCAGCAGGTACAGAGGGCGAGGAAGAGAACTTTTTATGTCAAACAAAACACAACTGGTAAGGCAAGCCTCAGAGAAGGAGCAAGAGTCAAATGTGCTAAAAACACTAGATGAAAACTATGTTCTAAGTGAAGAGGTTCTGTTTCCATGAAAAATCATCCTAAAGGGACACTGCTCTCTAGGGCAGTCTGCCCTCACCGTGGCCTCGCCCTCCAGAAGGACGAGGTGCCTCCTCCCTGCTGCCCCCGGGGCTCCAGGTGCACAGGGGATGGCCCCCTCCTACTTACTTCTTCATAACGAGGAAGAGCGTCCGCCCGTGGCCCAAGCCTTCGGGGTGAAGACGTGGGGGCAGCACATCAGGGTAGTCGACCAGGGCCCCTGGCAGCAGTGGTACAGAGGAGGTGAAGGCACGGACGACCCGGATGATGTTGGGGTGAGGGGCCAGTTGCTTGGGGCTTCCCTTGGACTTTCTGTTTCAGCCAAATAGGACAAACGTACGAATTTAGTATCAGCTATAACAGTTGGAAAGATAATTATACCACAGTAAATGTTGACATTTACACCCATTTTAATCAAACATTTACTGTAGATCTGCTTTGTGTCAGGTTCACAGCCTGGTGTTAGAGTGAAAAAACAAACCCATAAAGATGACTAATCACATTTGATGACTCCGCTGGCCCATCCATCTGTCCATCCATCTCTCCCATGTGGCAGAACACAGTGGTTAAGAGACTCTGGAATCAGACTCTGATTTGAATTCCAGGTCAGCCACTGTAAGCCAGGTTACTTCTCTGGGCTCACCCTCTACCGCTAAACGGAGTAAGGTAGTAACGTACCTCATAAGGTTGTCAATTCTTACAAAGGACCCAGAATCTCTGTGATTGCAAGTTTTTTTTTTTTTTTTTTTTTTTTTTTTAACGTTTACTTATTTGAGAGAGAGAGGAGAGAGAGAGCATGGGCAGGGGAGCAGGAGCAGAGAGAGGGAGACACCATCCGAGGCAGGCTCAAGGCTCTGAGCTGTCAGCACAGAGCCCGATGCAGGGCTCAAGCTCGTGAACCTTGAGATCATGACCTGAGCCAAAGTCGGATGCTCAACTGACTGAGCCCCCAAGGCCCCCCTGTGATTGCCAAGTTCAAACCCTTAACATTGAGTATGAGCTCAATAAGCCTTTGTTGAATGAATGACTTGGCACAGAGGCAGGTCGTAGTACAGCCGTCACTTGCCTGCCCAGACCTCCTCGTCGGGGCCCCCACACCCACAGGCCTGCTGGTGCACGGTGGCGGTGGTTTGGATGGCGTGTGTCAGTCTGCTACGCAGCCAGTACTGATTGGGGGGCACCTGACCTAAGGGCAAGGAGCCTGCGGTCACATCGGAGACCCACATGGCTGGTGGGAAAAAGGAAAGCGGCCGGTTAGATTCTCTTTTGGAGGAACAATAATGAAGAAACACAGCGGTAATCTAGTGGTCAGCAATGCAGCTGGAGGCGGAAGGTGCCATGAGACTTGACGGCCTGTGGGAAGCCAAGAGATGTGGAGACTGAAGGCACACAGGAGCGTGTGTGACGGACAGAGGCCAGGGAGAAACAGGTGCTCTCAGGGACTGAGACAGTTTCCCCTGAGTCACCCATGTCATGTTCATGGAATCATCCAACGGACATTTCCGGAGCTGTGAGGGTACACAGCAAACAGCACAGAAAAGCTCTGCTGTTGGAGAGCTTCTAGGACAGCGGGGGAGAGAATACACAAAGACAACTGTGATTAGGGTTAAATGGTGATAAATGCCATGAAAAAAAATTAAAGCAGAGTCCTTGGAGAGAGACAAGGACCACTTCAGAGGGGAGGTCTGGGCAGCCTCTCCACCACAGAGGCGGCGGTGCCCACATGAGCTACCTGACAGCAGAGCAGCAGAGGCGGTGGTGAACACAGAAAGCCACCTGGATATGGCCGTACCTCCCAAAGAGCAGCGGACATGCGGATGCCCACTTTTCCCTACAAAGGATTAAGGGCAGGAGGGGCACTAAGGCCCAGCAAGCAGCTGTTTCCATTGGGCTGCACGACCCTGCAGTCCCAGGGAGCCTTCCAGACCACAGGCAGGGCTTTCTGTGGGGTTTCTCAGGTCTCTGTGCCTTCCCACCTCTGACAGCACCAGATCTAGGAACTAACCCTTCAGGAAGCTGCCAAGACGCAGCCCCTCCTGGCGGTCCATAATCATGAATCCAGCACACGTGTCTGTCACTGCTCAGCGTCAATCTTCACGGCCGCACACCCGGCGCTCACAAAGCACCAGGAGCATGGGGGGCCGTCCACCCCTGCTTCCCTCTGGAGAAGGCCTCTCTGCCCAAGTGGTGCTGCCTCATCCTTCCAAAGGCAGCACCGATGGACGGCCCCTTCAAGAGGCCTATCGGCTCGTGCTCGCCCAGCACCTGAGCACCCACGACCATAGGCAGCACTCACCGCCCTGGCCTCTGTCCCTACCTCGTTCGGTTCCTCCGGCACACACACAACTCTTGGGGAACAGGCCACTTTTTCTCTTTTTAATCTCTTGGCATGGCCACTATTAGCGGAATGAGTGTCACCTCTGCTGGGGACAGAGTTCAGCTTGTACAGACAGGTGACGTTCCACCTGGGCATTGCTTAAGAACAATCAGAAGTCATGGGCATGTTTGTATGGCCTTCTTGGAAGAGCTGTGTCTTCAGTTGGGGTCAGAGGATCTGCCATCTTCCCCAAGTGAAATAATCCAGCTGCTACAAATCCATCATCATTCGGTGAGCATTTATCATCGACATGACTCCGCGCCAAGGACACAGGTGAGGATTCTGCTCTCGCGTAACCCACAGCCAGTCCGGTGGGCAGACAGATGCTTACCTGTAAGTGACTGCTCCATACTCCCCGGCCAAGGCCACTCGACTAGCTGGGACTAGCTCCTGGCTCATTGTGCTCAAGATAGCTTCACTGGAAGAGCCCGCCTGGAACACAATCATGAGCTCAGGGTTACACGGACCAGGGCAAGCCCAAGTCTTCCTTATAATCTGGACCAGACAGCTACTGCCTAGAAGGTTTTTTTAAAAAATATTTTAAAGTAATCTCGATATCCAACGTGGGGCTTGAACACACAACCCCAAGATCAAGAGTCACATGCTCCACAACTGAGCCAGCCAGGTGCCCCTAGAGCTGGTTTTCACATTCAAGGTAATATAAACTCTCTGAAGTGGCAAGCCAAGCCTAGCATCTCCCAAGAGGCAGATGGAAGAGGTGCCGTCCACACCAGCTCCCAGGGTCTTCTACACCCTGCCTCAATCTCCTGGAGCTCAGGGCAGGAAGCGATGGCAAGATGGTCAGGGTCAGGGATCTTCCTCACTGCCATCAATGCCTCGAGTCACCGCGAGGCTCAAAACTGGCCACGGGAGCACTAAGTCTCCCCCCCACAGGCTGCCTTCAGCAGACAGGCAGAACTGGACAAAGTGGCCCTGGATAAAGTTGTGCTGAATCAGAGGACAGCCTCTCCTGTCCCCTCCAGGAGAAAGAAACAACTAGAACCAAAGATGAGCAAAAGCACCCGGTTTTCCTCATTTCATCGCGAACAGCTCTCAGGCCCTGTGGAGCCTCTTAGGAACCCCACAGGAATCAAGTCTTTCAGCTTCTGTGAGTACGAGAGTCGTCATGCCCTTCAGTGGAGGTTTTGATGCGAACCCTGGAGTTTCACAGGCAAAGGACTTGGCTACTTGTTAGCTATTAGCCGGGTTGGAAGGGCAAAGGTCTAATAACCTCCATCCCTCAGATCAAGACAAGAACCTGCATTCTTGGGGCGCCCAGCTGGCCCAGTCAGTGGAGCATGTAACTCTGGATCTCAGGGTTGTGAGTTCAAGCCCCACGCTGAATGTAAAGATTACTCATAAATAAAATCTTTAAAAAAGAAAAAAGAAACTGCATTCTTCAATGTCCAGCACGAGCTGTGTCCCATTTTTAGGCCTGGACACATGCTCCGGGCAGGAGAAAGAGCATCATTGGGTCTGAGTAATTTTCTAAACCCACCTATATGGTGATAAGGTAAAGAAATGACCTGACTGAAATCTTAGTTTCTGTGGAGGGAAACAACTCAATTTCCCAAGTCCTTGCGTCCTCCCAGAGTTGAGAGCAGGGAGGTGATAAGCACACCTTTGATCTGGAGGTGAGGCTAAAGGGGAGGTCCGGAGGACAGGCCGGTGGCCTCTCCTCCCCGGTGAGCCCGGTCAGGGGACAGAGGGAGGGCGGAGGTAATGCGCTCCTGGATCCAGCTAACTGGATCAGCGCCAACAAAAGAGAACCGTGGTGCTCAGGCCCTTGCTGCCCCAGGTGTGGTGCACAGACCGGAAGCAGGGGCATCCCCTGGGGGCTTGTTAGAAAGCTTCTCAGCCCCCACCCCAGACAAGCTGACCAGAATCTGCCTTGTAACAGGATGCCCCGGTGACTCCCCAACTATTACAACTTGAGGCGCCTGCGCTGTGGAAACCCCCACCCCCACCCCACCCCCGCTACTCGCAGGGAAAGAGGTCTATCAGGCCCAGCAAGACCGTGAGCAACGCCCAGGTCAAAGGTGAAAGGCCCCCTCCTCACCGAGATGTTCCACAACATCTTGATGGCCAAGGGAAAGCCGGGGGCCGGGGGCGCTGGCTCGTGTTCTTGCGCGGTGACACCAGGGCCTCGGCCTGGGAGCAGCCCGATGCCCTCCGCCACCTGCGGCTTCCGGGGCAGCACCGGCATGGTGGCTTCATACACCGCAGCGCTGCAGCCCTTGCCGACAGACCGCCCTATCACATACTCCTCCAGCCGGCAGCCTCGCCACCAGCCGGTGTCCAGCGGGTCTGGCGGCAGCTTGGTTTTCCGGGTAAAAACTGCCTGTGAGGAACAAAACGTGCCCAATGAGCCAAGGTGCCTAATAAGGCCCAAGTAAAGGGGAGCGGGGGAGGGGAGAGGGATAGCCAGGCAAGGCCTTCACCTACACCATCAAGAGCTAATAAAAGCACGACTAAACTGGGTTTTATTGCTCATCCTGGGCTCAGGCCATCCCACCTTTCTCTCCCGTTATTCAGAATGACTTTTCCTCAAACTCTGTACCTTCTGCAAACAGAGACACCCCAGCCCAGGACACTTGTTAGCCAAGAGGTCAAAACTTCCCAGTTCTGCAGCTGGCACCCCTCGCCTTTCGAGCTCCCAGCACAATCTTGGAGGCTTCTGATTTCAGAGACAGCTCTCTGTGCAAGGACCTCAGCAGGCAGCTGCTACTGGATGGTTCTCGTGAGCTGTGGGTGGGCGGCTCTCCTGTGGGGGTCTTCAGAGGAATACTAGGGTTGGTGTTTAGTTAAGTCTATGTCTGCTGCTAATGCCATCGTGAAGGGGTTTGGAATCTTTGAATAGGCTGCCAGCCTGGGAGCTGGATCTGCCAGATTGTTCCCTCGGGCAGCTCAACAGTCCGATTTCTGGTGTCCTGGGCCGTGGGCAACAGCTACCTCCCTGGGTTCTGACGCAACTCTAAAAAAAAAATTTTTTTTTAATTTATTTTTGAGAGACAGAAACAGTGCGAGCAAGGGAGGGACAGACAGAGAGGGACATAGAATCCGAAGCAGGCTCCAGACTCTGAGCTGTCAGCGGGGCTCGAACTTACACACTGTGAGATCATGACCTGAGCTGAAGTCAGACACTTAACTGACTGAGCCACCCAGGCGGCCCCTAGTAATTCTAAACTATCTGAAGTCTACCTCGAGTTGTCTAGCTTCAGTTTGCAGGGCTTTGGGAGAAAGGGCACTTTTAGGGAGTGGGAATAGGAGAAAATTGGAAACCTCAGTCTGGAGACTCATAACCAGACACTGGAGGAAATGAGACATCATGAGCCAGCCCGGTTTAAGAAGCATACAACAGACATCCAAACACAGTCAGTCCATCTAGCATCTGCAGAGGCATGATTTTTTCCCCCTAAAATCACCCTCATTTCCACCAAAGATAACCAAATTAAGCCTCCAGTTTTAACAACCTTGGCCTATTTACATAAGCGCTACAAGAATAGTGAGTAGCCATATAGAGTTTGCCTATTTTTTTTTTTTTTTTAATCTACTTTGCTGGAACTTCTCCAAGAACTTCAGGCTGAACTTTTAATAGCCTCTCAGGGCTAAGAAGCCAAGCCAAATACTTGCCATCAGACTTTGCCTGTAATACCTGTAGATTTGGGTAGGTTCCTCTCTTCTTGAGGTCCCTAAAATATCCTGAGGTTCCTGTGCCTGCCAGGAAGTGACCTTCTTTATTCACCTGCTAAGGCTGCCGGGAACCCCGTAGGGAAGTTATGAGGCTGATTTTCCCAGGGGTCCTCATTGGCTCCAAAAAGTCGACCTTAGTTCCCTAAAGTTGTTTGGTCATATCTGAGTCAATGCACATCTCCCTCAAATATGATATTTCAGTCAAAGCCTTGATAACATAACCAGTGTTTCTAAATGTCCTGTCCTAAGAACAGATTCCTACTGAAGTTATGCAAATAAATACCTTGCCATGAGAGTATAAGAATACTCACAGAGAGTTTCTAAATCTGGAGGGATCCGGTGGGGAGAAAAGATACATGTATCATGTTTGTTTACAAAGGAATTGTTTTACCAAATTTCTGCAGGTCATAATAGTGTAAGAGAAAAAGTTTCCTTAAATCTGGAAGAGCAAACATTAGAGAACCAGCAATGTTTCAAACAAGATTAATTATCCTCCTCAATTCATTCAGTCCCATGTTACTAATTCTTGCTCTGCTTGAAAGCAGTTTTCCTGTTAGTTCCAGAAACTCTTACTCAGTTTGGTTTTATCATCTTATTGATATGAAAGAGACCTGTTATTTGTCAAAAGTCCATCCCATGAATCTCCTTGAAACTGAAACACATCTGTAATAGCATCAGAGTAAAACAATAACAATAAATGACAGAAAACTAAAAAATGGCCATGTTGTGTTGACTACAACACTTCAATACTTAGAATTACAAATGATGACATTATACCAGGACATATCAAAACCTTAAGAATTTTATACAATTTCTAGAAGCATTATAGCATTCACCCATACAATATAATCTAAGGTTTATCCTCACTTATTTGACAATGCTTCCCATGTAACCTGACATAGCAAATAAACAAGCCTAATTAGTAAAAAAAACAAAAAAAACAAAAAACCAAAAAAACCCTGCTTCATTTAGAAGTTGAATGTTGGGAAGTTGGTCAGAAATATCGGAAGGTCTTATTTATTATCATTTTTTAGTTTCTTTATTTGAGAGAGCATGAGCACAAGCGGGTAAAGGGCAGAGAGTGAGGAAGACGGAGAATCCCAAGCAGGCTCCCAATGTGGGGCTCGAACTCTCGAGCTGTGAGATCATGACCTGAGCTGAAATCCAGAGTCGGATGAGTAACCATAACTGACTGAGCCACCCAGGTACCCCAATGTTTGTTTATTTTTGAGAGGGAGGGAGAGAATGCACATGCTCTCGGGTTGGGGAGGAGCAGAGAGGGAGACCCGAAAATCCCTGGGGGATTTTCACGTGGGGCTCAAACCGTGAAATCATGACCTGAGCAGAAGTTGGATGCTCAACCAACTGAGCCACCCAGGCGCCCCAGAAAACTGTCATTTGTAACAGGAAAACCAAATTCTAATTTTATATTGATGTACTTCTGATAGCAAAACTCATTCATTTCAACAAGATGAATTTTTAAAAAATGTATGTAGTCCCTCCTTTACCTCTCCCTGTCATTGCCCATGTTGACATACACTTATTGAGACAGGGCCATGCAGGGTGCTGCATGGATCTGCGTCCCTGTGGCGGGGGCTGCGTGGATCCAAGGCCCTGTGGCGGGGGCTGCGTGGATCCGAGGCCCTGTGGCGGGGGCTGCGTGGATCCGAGGCCCTGTGGCGGGGCTGGGATGTGCTGACCAGAATCCCATCGGGAGTGAAGGACTCTCAGCTGGTGGGAATGAGGCTAACAGTCCTCAGCTCTCAGCGGTCACGCGGGAGGGCCTTGACTGAAGACACCTGCCTTGTCCAGGTCATGCCCTCTTCCCCAGGCGGTCCCATCCAATGACTGTTCAGTACGAGTGTATAAATGCCAGCCCTCTGTTCCAGTTTAGGACGGTTGTAAAGAGTAACCCAACTTTTGGAACTCCTCAGGGAATCAGCTGAGGCTTCTGTTGAGGTGGTATCACGGCTCAACCTCCGTCTCATCCTGTTGTCTGCATGTGCCTTCTCTTCCCCAGGGGCCGACAACTGCCTGGCAAACTTCTCTAGGCGCTCATCTCCATAACCTCAGTCCTGACCATGTATAGAATTCCTTTCCAAAGATTTCCTTCTCACAAACCTTCTACAACTTCTTAAAGTCAGGTTTTGTCCTAAGTGTTCCTTCGTTAAATAACCAGTCTCCATTCCCTTGCATACGGAGTTGTTTCCCGTAATAGAAGCCAAAATGAAACCCATGCTGACTCTCAACCGTTATGTTTAGATTACCCAGAACACTTTATAACCTGAACCTATCAGACTTGCAGCAAACACAGGCAGAATAAACATCAGTTCTACCTCTACTACTGGAAGCTTTAAGAACATGTCCATTTTAATTAAACCAATAACCTTGAATTAGCTTTAATTCAATATTTTCCCAAATCACGTGAACTTGAAGGTATTTTTCTCAGTTTTAGAATGCCTAATTCTTACAAGCACTTGCCTTTAAACCAACTAAATTAACCTCTTTGTCAAATTAATTTTAGCAGCACCATTCACAGGCAGAGGGAGAAAAAAATCTCACATTTACAACACACATGGATACACATACAGATACATGAGCAAGATACAAACAAAATATGGGGCGCCTGGCTGGCTCAGTCGGTTACATATCTGACTCTTGATTTTGGCTCAGGTCATGATCTAATGGCTGAGAGATCAAGCCCCAAGTCAGGCTCTGAGCTGAGCGTGGAGCCTGCTTGGGATTCATTCTCTCTCTCTCTCTCTCAACATAAAATAAACAAACATTAAAAAAAAAAAAAGATGCAAACAAAATCTTCAAGGCCCAATTTCCAAATATATCATAATATGGATCCATTGATTGGTCATTTTTCTTCAGTCTAATGAATATTGTGGTTAAGTGGTGTTCCAAAATAAGGAATTCCCAATTTTGGAGAATTTGCATTTGGGACTCAAATTCACTTTCCATTTTCCAATTAAAATATGGCTGGTGTTCTCCAAAGATACCAAAAGCTGCAGCAACAAACAAAGCAAATGAAGCACTGAGTACCTCTGGGAGCACTGGTTCCTCCCCCAAAGCCAAGGTTTCACTGTCTGGACCAAACAGCTTCCTAGTCGACTTTCAAACAAGGAGGCGACGGCTCAGATGTCCACACCAAAGCCCCCTATTTGGATGCAACCCAATAGGAAGAGGAAATAAATAAGCTCATGTGCCCTTGCACATCAAGTACTCACCAAGACACATGTCCAACTGAAGCCAAAACCATTTCCTTGCTGCAAAAGTTAAATTGGGTCCCCAAGGTTGGCAGTGCCCAGTTGGGGTGGGGCTCTGGGGACAGTCCCTAGGACAAAGAGCCTAGGCAGTCGCTTGGACTGGTCACAGCACTCCCAGAGTGGCTGGGGCCTGATGAACCACAGGCACAGACCTCCTGTTGACTCACAGCAAAATCAGTCACTGAGACAGAGTGTGCAGCAAGGAAAGGGTGTTTTTCTTTAAAAAAATTTTTTTAATGTTTCATTTATTTCTGAGACAGAGAGATAGAGAGCATGAGCAGGGGAGGGTCAGAGAGAATGGGAGACACAGAATCTGAAACAGGCTTCAGGCTCTGAGCTGGCTGTCAGCACAGAGCCCGACACGGGCCTTGAACCC